TGTTGACTAAAAAAAGAATATATGGTGCCTAATCCAATAAGATAAAATTGTAAAGTAGTGTAAAACCACATAGTGAGAAATGTTTAGATAAAGTGTAAATAACTATATACATTATGGTACATTAGAGTACATTAAATGTACTCGTATACAAGGTCAATAAAACAATAAACTAGTGGGGCGCATGGCAACGTGCCTTAAAGCAAATTGCTGGTACTTCCCGTACCAAAAATTAATTTTTTTTAAAAAATATTAAATTTTTTCTTTAAACTTTGAAAAAATTAAATTTGTCAAAAAAATGTTTTTTTTTATTTTGAAATATTTTGGAAATTTTGAACCATTTTTCAAAGCAATTGCACTGCTTTAACTGCATATAGACGAAATATCGAAGCGCGCAAGCGCTGCGTCGCCGTCTAGCGGACAAACGACGTTACGGAACACATTGAAATGCAAACAAAATTGAAACACATTATTAAAATCTCCATAAAATATCTGATAATTTGATGTGCATATGCTAACGATCATTTTTGGCCGCCAAATGTCATTTTTTTACTTTTTTTACTAGATCTCCAAAACCGCTAGACCTGCCTTAATCAGTTGTTCATCTTGTCAATACAAGTAAAATGACTGAATGTCAAATGAATCTTAAAAACTGAGTTACCGTTTCTGGCACTTTTTGCCCCGTATCTTCAAAACGGCTAGACCTGCCAAAAACTAATCAGCCCGTCTTCTTATCAATAAGAATCGAATGTTTTTTGAATTATTCAAATCGGTTGATTGGTGTTCCCGAAATCGTCGACGAAAATTTGTATCCGCACACACACGCAGACACACACATACACACACACACACATACATACATCCATATTTTCTAAGGTATGCCAAAATATTCAGAAACCTTTGTAACGTAAAGATATATAAAAATTTTCATTTTCGATTTTTTTCCGATTACTATAACTTGTCCTATAAGAAGTTAATAATAAAAAAGCCTAATGAATACAATCCAAGTATTTTGCATCGTTTTAGCTTTCATATCTTTCATAATAGATGAACTTTTGATTGAACAAGATTTTTAGTAAAGTATAATTTTAACTAGTTGTAAGTGATATTTTGCCTTGAGACGAGTTACATAAACTTTCCGACATGTGTAAAGAAACGACTAAATCAATAATAAATCAATGCATTAATTTATAAGTGATTCATAAGCATTTCGATGGGATTTACAAATCGGAAGCAAAGTCTCTAAAGGCAAATTTTCAAAATTCAATAAAATTTATAATTGAACCAGTTTCTGTTGGACTATTGTATTTTCTTTTAACAATCAATTACCTGTCTGGCCAAACTTTGTTCAAAACTAATCAACAAATGATATATTTCGACTAGTATTTGAATTTTCAAAATCGTGTCAAAGTTTTTGACTAAAACGCGGACGAAAAATTTTACACGATTCTGCAAATTTGAAAAAACGATTAAACCGATCATAAAACTTTGATGAAAAAAATAAAACGTTGATGAAAAATCTGAAATAAAAATTAAACAGTTAATTATAAAAACACTGGCGTGGCGATCTGTACCAAGAGCTAATCAGCACGATTCCCAATCCAAACCTTTCAAATGGCTTTTGAATTTTTTAAAATTGAGTCAGAATTGTGCGCTAAAACGTGGATGAAGAAAGTTTACACTTTTTGCTAATTACAAAGAAACGGCTTGGCCGATCGTCGCGCATAAGTTATTAAATGCTAGTCCTCAAAGAGTTACATCGAATGGCTTTTGAATTTTGGAAATTTAACATTTTTTAGTAAACGTCGACGAAAGGTAAAGATCTGTTCACACACACATATACTTACTCACTCACACACACATACTATGTGTATGTTTTATATAGTATAGTTTTTCTAAATTTCGTTTTCATTCGTTCAGAATGGCTTGAAACGTCGAGAAAACATCTAATAAACGAATCGGATTTTTTATGAAAATGAACCATGAACATCTCCTTCTGGAAGTTAAAAATCGCATAACATCTTGATGTGTAGAAATGTTGAAGTTATTTTGGAAATGCAGAAATGCTTTTAATTGCTGTAATTTTACCAGTGGAAAAACTACAGAGAAATGAAAGTGCAGACACAGGTCGCAGAAGTTTGTAAGCTGAAATATGAAAAATAAAATTATAGTGAATTATCTATAAATAATAGAGATACATCATTCTGGTCGATCATTGATAATAATATAAATACATTAATATTTTTTTCGTAATTTTATAAACTTTGTTCAGATATTGCCAATATATTATGCAAGTAATGAAAACAAACTATACGAACTTTTCAGACAAGTACAAAAGCCGTCTCGAAGATCACCCAAAGTCACTTGCCGAAGAACTCCTCTAGAATGCTTCCAGGGCCAGGATAAAAGAAAAATCCATTCCTCAATATTCATGAATGCCAAAATTACTGTCAGTGTTCAGATGATTATCTATTTGGAAGCCTGTTTTTGTTCCTAAAATTTTACTTTCTCGCCTTTTAAAATAGGTGTAAAAATTATTGTATAGAAATAATAATAATAATAGTAATAATAATAATATTAATATTAATAATAATAATAATAATAATATATTATTAAAATAATAATAATAATAATAATTATAATAATAATAATAATTGTAAAAATAATAATAATAATAATAATAATAATAATAATATTAATAATAATAATAATAACAATAATAATATACAACCTTTTTATTTAAATCGTTCAGTGCCCAATTCCAAAATTTAGCATATAAAGGACACTTAAATTTAGTATTTTTTAGAAAATGAATTTGTTTTCTAAAGAATACTAAATTTAATCTTTTAAATGCTAAATTTTGGTTTAATCAAAAGCTTGTTATTTCAAATAAATTTGAAACAATCAGCACTTTTTTTATTTATGATAAATTCTATCAACAAAAACAAATCAATCAAAATCATATTATTTGCTATTTTTTATCCAGTATGTGATGAATTCTTCTAAAAGATCTAAGTGCAAAATGGTGCATTATTCTATAAGAATAAATCACACACGGTCCTTTTTATAATTTATTGAACTATTAGTAAACACATATGTTAACACGTATATATATATATGGTATTATAAGATTTATAACAATATAAAATAAATTATAATATATGAAACACTTTTATATATTTATTCTAAGCTAACAAATTCTCCTATCCCATTGCCGAAATGAGCATATAAATTTTTTAATATAGATTTAACTAATATCTAATAAATTATTTAAATGCAATTTTATTTATATAGGGATATGACATATGCATTCTATGCTACGACTTGGTTAATATAATATTATTTTTTTACTAAAATAGCAACGTTATATAAAATTCAAATATTTATTTAATGAATAATACTTGAGCGGATTGATGTGAAAAGGGAAATATTAACAGCTAATTTTTAAACTTCTATAAAATTAAGAATTCTATCACATGTAAACTAGACAATCGTTGATTATCAGATATTTTTTATTTACAATAGTATAAAAATTTATAAAATTTATGAACAACTATGTAAGAATTTGATCTGAAGGAACTATATGCATTTTGAGAAAAAAAAAGATAAAAACGCTAATAAAAAACTAATTCATTATATTTTTGTCCAATTTTTTGGAATATAGTTATTCCTTAAAATAAAACGATTTTAAAAAAGTTATTTATTTAAAATATTTTTGGTTGAATAAATTGAGCAGATTCAAATTTTTATAAATCAATTTGCTACCACCTATTCTTTTAATAAAATACTCTATTAAGTTTGTTTGATAAAAACATTATTTAATAAATATTATACTAAATATAATTATAAAAAAATACTTACAATTTTATGTTAAAGTGCTGTTATTTTCCACAATTTTCTTCAATGATATTTTTCAAATGTTTTTCAAGATATTAATCCTTGCAAATATGTTCTTGTAACATATTATTATTTCGTTTGTACAAATTATCTTTTACAAATTTTATTTTGTATTCTAGATATAGTTTAATATTATATTATCTTCCATAGCATATACAAGGTGTCCCAGAACTCAACGTCAAGCCAAAACGGAGTGTATGTGAGTGAAATGCACTAGCAATAACCATGTCATTTTTAGGTTATTATTTTTTTACTCAAATTTTTCAACAATAAAATTACCAAATATTTTACATTTTTAGAATCCTGATTAAATGCGACAACTGTTATTGAAACTTGTTAACACACTTTATTACATTTTTTTCAACAAAAAAAGCCTCTCAAAGTTGATTTTGAAAGTTTAAATTCATAGGGCAATAAAAAGTCTTAATTCTTGAAAACTTGGGGAAAATTATATTATTATTTTCTGGTGTGGTCCTAGAAATATTATTCACAATCACAGTTCCAAAGTTTCAATAAACAAAATTAATAAAAATTAACCACAATAACCAAAAAATTGTCGTAGATTCACCAAAGCTCTAGGTTGTACCTAAAACCTCATAATTTCCAAACAAAGTGATATAATCATTTTTTCTAATTATTTTCAGGATAGTTAAGGTCAATGCTATAACCTTGTTTCGGCTTGACGCTAATTTCTGGTACATCCTGTTTATACTCATCATTATTAATCCTTTCCACTCGCGAATTGCGAGATTTGTATGTATGTTGCCGCCGGAGCGGCGGCGTCCGAGTGGAAAGGGTTAAATTATTCAATCTATTCAAATGCCAACGACGAATTAAATTTTTGTAATAAAATGTGAAATAGCTCTAGAAGATATAAGTAATAACAAGTATAAAACATTCAAAAATTTTGCAAATATTTTAATTTAATGAAATAAATTTTTTTTATATATATATTGCTCTTTTTTACTAAATTATGATAAGAAAATTGTATGGGTGATAAATTTGAGCATATAGCAATGTTATCGTTAAACTTAAAATTGAAGAAGTGAATAGTTATTACCTGAAACGTACGTACAATATGATGTGACAAACTTTTAGTTCAGATTTCAATAAACATCCTCTTCTTCCTGAAGCCGTTGAATGTCTGATCGATTCATGAAATAATAAGTTGGTTGTCGGCCTTTCAAATCCTTCAGGACTCTTTTTGCGCCTGCTTTTATCAAAATTCTGCTCAACGATTCTACTTTCTCGACTCCCATTGCGTAATGTAAAGGTGTGCGTTCCAGCTGATAAAATATTGAAAATCAAAAGTTATTTTAAAATATTAATTATTTATTTAATTGCAAAGTGTGGACCAAAAGTTTCCAAACAGATAGTTGTTGCAGTTATAAAGGATACTAATTTTTTTTCAAGAAGTTTGCACGATGTTACCCTATGAAGGAACAAAATGTGTCTCAACCACCAAAAAATCCCTACTTGGTTTCTTAAATTCTCTTTATTGTTTCAAATGGAATGGTCTTAGAAAGTAAAAACACTCCTAGTTGTTATTGGTATTTTGCCTTGAGGCAAGTTACATGAACTTCCCGATATATGTAAATAATCGACTTAGTCACTAAAAAATTAATTAATTTATGAGTAATTAAAAGTACTCCAATTACACATAATTGAAAACAAACGAACACGTTAACTTGGAGTATTTTCTATAAGCAAATTTTCTAAAATCAACCATTTTTATAATTGAACCAGTTTCCATAAGACTTTAATGGTTTAGTATGTTCATCAAGACCAAGTCGTTTTTAGCATTTTTAGCGCTCGAAATATTTCCCAGAATACTTTAATTACCAATTTTGTAAATCAACCCATACATTCAACACCGTTAGGACATTTTTCACCTAATGATGTCTCATGTGAAATAAAAAAGATGAAAAATAGATCTTCGCCGGGTATGGACAAAATTACTCCAAAAATGATGAAAGAATTGGCTATAAAAGGTATTTTATATATAACAAATATTTTCAACGCCGTCCTTCAATATAATTATTGGCCCATAGCGTGGATCAAACTCTGATGAATTTTCAAAATTAAACTACTCGTCGTAAGGCCGTAATATTTCAGTAAGTTCTATAAGACCATGATATATATCGCCAAAAAAAGTTCCATAAAAATCGGCTTAATTTTTAACTTCCCGTAGAGCAAGTTATAGTAATTGCAAAAAATCGAAAATGAAATTTTTTATATATCTTTACGTTTCAGAGGTTTCTAAATATTTTGGCATACCTTATAAAAAATTGATGTATGTGTGTGTGTGTGCGCGCGTTTCGGGAGCACCGATCAACCGATTTGAATCATTAAAAAAACATTCGATTTGCATTAATAAGGAGACGTGCTGATTAGTTTTTGGCAAAGGCAGGTCTAGCCGTTCCGAAGATACGGAGCAAAAAGTGCCAAAAATGGTAACTCAGTTTTTAAGAGAACGAAGCGTCCGATTTTAATAATTCAAAAATCATTTTACTTGTATTGACGAAATGAACAACTGGTAACATTTTTGGGAAGGCGGGTCCAGCAGTTATTGACTTTTAATGAAAATAATTTAAAAAATTGCCCTTTGGCAGTCAAAAATGTTTACTGAATATATGCACATCAAATTATCAGATATTTTATCGAAATGTTAATAATGTGTGCACATTTTGTGTAATTTTGTTTGGGTTCCGTACCAAGATTTTTAATTTTGAAGTTTATTTTTATGGTTCAAACAAATTTTCTCGTTTTATACTGTCGACATTTTCGACAATATAAAATAACCGATTCGTATGATTAAAAATCATTCGGTTCGTACTCGATCGCGAAGCAATTTTGCAAAAAGCAATTTTGTCGTTTCGGAGGTATGGAGTGTAAAGGGTGTAAAAACGGTTATGCAGTTTTTGAGAGAACGGATTATCCGATTAGATTAATTCAAAAAACATTTTGCTTGAGTAGATGGTGTGCAAAAAATGCGTTTACAGAAAATTTAGTAATTTTCAAATTTCAAATCATATAATAATAAAATTAAACTAAATCTTAAAAAATTAAAAAAAAATATTTCTTACAAAAATTTGAGAATATTTCGAAAATTAACTAGTTGGTTTGGTATTTAGCCTTGAGGCAAGTTACATGAACTTCCCGATATGTTTAAATAATCGACTTAATCAATAAAAAATAAATTAATTTATGAGCCATTAAAAGTATTCCGAGTGGATTTATTACACATTATTGAAAACAAACGAACACTTTGACTCGGAGTATTTTTTAAAAGCAAATTTTCAAAAATCAATAATTTTTATAATTGAACCAGTTTCCAGGACTTTAATTGTTTATTATGTTCAAGACCAAGTACTCTATCATTATACGAAGTAAATAGTCTAATTTTAATTTTAACAAATGTCAAAAGAACTACTCATTTTCTCAAACTTTGATAAATTTTTAAAATCAAACTATTTGTCGTAAGGCCGTAATATTTCAGTAAGTTCTATAAGACCATGGTATATATCGCTAAAAAAAATTCCATAAAAATCGGCTTAATTTTTTTTCAACAGTTAATTACAAGAAAACGGCTCGGTAGATTTTCACCTAAAACTAATCAGTGCCATACCCAACTAATATCTTTCGAACAGTTTTTGATTTTTTTAAAATCGGTTCGGTAGGATGAGCTTAAATGTAGACGAAAAGTTCAACACTTTTTTCTAAATTACAAAGAAACGGCTTGGCAGATCGTCGCACAAAACGATATGACAAACGATAGTCCTCATCGAAATACATCAAATGGTTTTTAAATTTCTGAAATCGGTTCAGGCGTTTTTGAGAAAACGTCGATCAAAGGTCTGATTTTAACAAATTTGACAAAATTTTAAAGATAAACGAGTTGTCGTAGGGCCGTAATATTTTAGTATGATCTAAAAGACTATGGTATCTACCGTTAAAAAAATAATAAAAAAAATCGTCGAATTTTTTTTTAAACCTTTATTACAAGAAAACGGCCCGGCCGATTATTACCAAAAACTAATCAGCACAATTCTCAACCAATATCTTTCGAACGGTTTTTGAATTTTCAAAATCTATTAAGAATTGCGGGCTAAAACGTGAACGAAATTTTTTTCACTTTTCTGAGATTTACAAAGAAACGGCTCGGCCGATCGTCACACAAAACTCAGAAACGCTAGTCCTCATCGAAATACATCGAATGGCTTTTAAATTTTTGAAATCGGTCCAACCATTTTTGAGAAAACGTCGATTTACGGCAAAAAATCTGTTCACACACGCACACACACACATACATTTTCCAAATTTGGTCTCATTCGATTCAGAATGGCTTGAAACGTCGAGAAAACATAAAATTAGCGAATCGGATTTTTTGATGAAAACATAAACTTCTCCTTCGGGAAGTTAAAAAAAATCTAATGTTTTCAAAAATTTCCAAATTCTCAAAATATTTAAAAAAACGTTTTTTTAAATTCTAAAAAAATTTAAACTTCAAAAAAAATTCAAAATTTGGAACAAAATTCGAAAATATCAAAAAAATCAAATTCAAAAAAATTGACTCTTGTAAACGTATTACAATTTTGCACTTAGAAATATTTAGATCCAGTTTATTATGAACACACCAGGAATGAAATGAATTTAGTTGAGACTGCATTACTAGTCATCTATTGAGTTTATTTTAAAATATATATATAATATGTATTCAACCTAATGGTGGATTGATACTTAAATGTTTAAAGTATATTTTGAGAAACTAAATTTTAAAACAAACACTGAATTAATATTATTATCAATTAATAGATTTGAAGCACGTTGGGACCTACCGAACGCCTATTTATCTATGTACCGAACCACCTTGAATTTGAAAAGACGCGCCATTTGTTAAATATCAAAGCGATTTGGTAAGTGTCTCATCTTTTCAAGAACGTACGCTATGCTTCAAATGTCAAATAATAATTGTGATTTCAGTTGGAATCGTTCATAAAATTGAATAAGATTGCTGATTAAACTGTAGATTATTATTCAGCCCACGACTATTTTCGTGATTATTTAGTGAGTAAATGCAGTGAAAATATTTAAAAATGTCAGATGTATCAATTATGTCTATGAATAATCAGGCAATTAAAATCGAACCACCAGAATATTCAGAAGAAGACATTAAACGCGAAATTGAGGATGAATTCGATGATCTTGATGCTAATGTTAAATCAGAATCATGTACTGAGAATGATGAAACTTGTTTAGAAAGATTCATGAATTCCGAAGTGACTATAGAAGAAGAAGTTAAACAGGAGTCAATCGAGACATTGGCCTTTGAATGTGACATTTGTTATCGATCATTTGCAGAATCACATCAATTAAAAGAGCATATGGTCGATCACATGCCTAGTAATACAAGGGAAAATCCTTTCAAATGCGAACTTTGTTACAAGACTTTCACACGATTAGATCATCTGAAAGATCATATGCTCATTCACAGTGGTAAGCGCCCCCATCAATGCAATATATGCAATAAAACATTTACACATACAAGTAGTCTGAATAGACACATGCTAATCCACAAAGGAGTACGCCCCCATGAATGCAATACATGCAATAAGAAATTCGCACTATTAGATAATATGAACCGTCATATGTTGATACACACTGGAGTACGTCCACACGAATGCAGTATATGCAATAAGACATTTCGACAATTAGGTACTATGAAACGTCATATGCTCATTCACAATAGAGTACGTCGTCATGAATGCAGTATATGCAATAAGAAATTTACAGAATTACATTCTCTGAAACGACACATGCTGATTCACAGTGGAGTAGGCCCCCATGAATGCAGTATATGCAACAAAAAATTCAGAAAATTAGGTCATATGAAAACTCACATGCTGGTTCACCATGGACTACATCTCAATGAATGCAGTATATGCAATAAGACATTCACTCAACTCGGCGACCTGAAACGGCACATGCTCATACACAGTGGAATACGTCCCCATGAATGCAATGCATGCAATAAGACATTCACACAATCAGGTAGTCTGAAACGTCACATGCTGTTTTATCACAGAGAAAATCCTTATAAATGTGAAATATGCAATAAAGGATTTAGTCAATTGAAGAAATTGAAGAGACACATGGCAGTTCATAGTCGGAAGCATGAAGAAAATTAATGAAATTTGAACATATTTGTTAAACTGAAGTTAAATATTTGGAATTATATTAAAAATACTCTTGCATGTAATATAATGTAATGTATATGCAAATATAATAAAATATACATTGTGCATCACCTAATATGCATTTATTGATATCTAGTCAATTAATAATGTGGATTAGCAACCACTTTTCCAGATTTGATACCCAGCTTGGCCAGCTTGTAATCAAGCAGTACTGATATCAGATATTTATTTCTTCCCGAAGGAAAGGTTTGTGTTCTCTAGAAAATCTGATATGCTAATTTTATATTTTCTTGACGTTTTATGCAATTCTGAATTGAAAAAGTATTTTTGAAGGAAATAGTATTTTTTAACTTTTGTCGACGTTTACTAAAAACCTATATAAAAATTTAAAAGCCATTCGATTTAACTTAACAAGGACTAGCGTTTATCATTTTTAGCCAAGCTGTTTCTATGTTTAGAAAAGCAAAAAAAAAAATGTCCACGTTTTAGCTCACAATTTTGTATCGATTTTAAATATTTAAAATCTGTTTCAAAGATCTTGGTTGGGACTAGTAGTGATTAATTTTGGTAAAGCTCTGACGGGCCCATACCTAAGGGGCTAATGTTGATAAAACTTTGTATGGCGATAGATTTTGTAGTATGAAATAACATAACAAAATATTATAGGTCTGTGATGAGCAGTTGAATTATAAAAATTTATCAGTTTGGATTTTCGCCGTGCTTTTGCAATTAAATAAAATACATTTTTAGAACATATAATAGATAAAAGAGTAAGTTATAGTAATCCCAAAAATAATCGAAAAAAGGGTTTTTGAACATTTTGCCATACTTCGGAGAAAATGTATGTTTATGTGTATGTTTGTGTGTGTATTCGGATACAAATGTTGTCGACGATTTCGGGAACACGGATCAACCGATTGTAATAATTTAAAAAACATTTTACTTATATTGACAAGATGAAGAATTGATAAAATTGTTGAGAAGGCAGGTCCAGCGGTTATGGACTATCAATAAAAATAAGTTAAAAAAAATGTTATTTGGCGGTCAAAAATGTTTATTGAACCATGTAAATCAAATTATTGGATATTATATAGATAATGATGATTAGATTTATATAGATTTTAATAATGTGTACACATTTTGTGTAATTTTTTTTGGGCTCCGTACCATAGATAAATAAGTATAAATGCTCCGTACCAAGATTTTTAATTACGGTACGGGAAGTTCCAGCAATTTGCCTTAAGGCCCGATGCTATGCACCCCACTAGTTTTTTCAACAGTTAATTACAATAATTACAATATTCGATAGTATGAACTTAAATGTGTACGAATAGTTTAACACATTTTTCCAAATTACAAAAAAACGGCTCAGCAGATCGTTGCACAAAACTGAAAAAAGATAATCCACATCAAAATACGTCTTTTAAATTTTTTTAATTGGCTTTTAAATTTTTGAAATCGGTTCAGGCGTTTTTAAGCAAATGTCGATGAAAGTTATAATTTTGACGAACGCCAAAAAACGATACTAATTTTTGCAAACTGACGAATTTTTAAAATTAAGCGACTTGTCGTAGGACCGTTATAACCCTTATATTTTAGTACGATTTATAAGACTATGGTATTTACCGTCAAAAAATAATTCATAATAATCGTCGAATTTTTTTTTTAACACTTTATTGCAAGAAAACGGCCCGGCCGATCACTATCAAAAACTAATCAGCACGATTCCTAACTATAATCTTTTGAACAGTTTTTGAATTTTCAAAATCGATTCAGAATTGCAGGCTAAAACGTGGACTTTTTTTTTTTCATTTTTCTGCGATTTACAAAGAACCAGCTCGGCTGATCGTCGCGCAAATTTGATAAACGCAAGTACTCATGGAGATACATCGAATGGCTTTTGAATTTTTGAAATCGGTCTTGCCGTTTTTGAGTAAACGTCGATTTACGGCAAAAAATCTGTTCACACACACATACACACACCCAAATTTGCTCTCACTCGATTCAGAATGGCTTGAAACGTCGAGAAAACATAATTAGCGAGTCGGATTTTTTGAAACTTCTTCGGGAAGTTAATTATATTAATTATGACTCACATTATCACCAATTCTTAGAGTATCAGGCCAACCGATGGCCAGAGCCTCTGCAACTTCTTCCTGTTGCCTCAATACTGCTATGTGCAGGGCAGTTCGACCAAAGGCATTTCGAGAAATTGCTAGCAGAGTTCCTATGTCACTAGTTGCCCCTTCAGTTTGTTTTGGAGGTTCCTTATCTTCTTCACTTGTATTACTATGGTGAAGTAAAAGGGCGCGGACTGCTTCGAAGTCGCCTCGTCTTACTGATTCGTGGAGAATTTCGCGTTGTTCCTTGTAAAAAAATATTGTTAACTAAATGATAGACAAGTGGTACTATACATGAAATATACATAATATTTATTAATCTAGTTGAAATTGGCATTTTGCCTTAAGAAAAGTTGCATAAACTTCTCGATATGTCATATGTATCAGCGAAACCAATATTGGAGCCCACGTATTATAGACCTTATAATTTAGTAAGCAATATTTATAAAAGGACTGGATTTTGATATTTACAATTTGTAAGCCCCCAGTTTTGCCATTCATAGTTACTGGTTTCATATGGATTAGCATATTGAAGTTTTAGAGTAAAATTTATGGGTTGTTCGGAAAGTGATGACTTCGTTTTTTATAGACATTTTGGCACGTAATTTTCGTACAATAAACAAATACTTTAGTAAATTATAATTTACTAAACTTTAACAATACATATATGTATTGGCTATTTTGATCAAACATCGTTTGTTATATTTTTGGCACTAGCATAATTCCGAGATCATAAACTTTTTGGTCGTAATTGGCAAAAAAACTGATCTAAGTGCTTTTTGACCTCCTCATTTGAGGTAAAGGTTTTATTGCCTAATTTTTTTTTAGTCCGATGATGGCAGGTCTGGATGCACCAAACTTATGTGTGGTCTTGCGTCGTCTCGATATAGGACTATACATTGCTTGCGGGTTGATTCTGACCTTTTCTATTAAAGCACATCAATTAGTTTATCCAGCTGATGACATAAGGCATTCACATTAACTGTTATGTTATCTTAAAAGAGCTGATAAACGAACAACTCCTTTAAAATCTCATCAAACATACATTTTTTGGCGAATTTCAGCTTTGCTACTGTTTTGAACAGGGTTTGTTTATTGTTTCATAGACAATTGTGTGTATTGTATTGTTTTCATCCAATTTGACATTCCTAGTGACAATTTGCTTCAAAACCTGATAATTTTCAAGACTTATCAGGGGTGAATCGCGGACGCCAGTGCGACGACTCAGGGTTCTTCCTTCAAGCTTCGAGGAAAATCCCAGACCTTTTAAGTGGTCATGAATTGTTAAATTTGATAAATTTAACTCAATGGGATCTCATGTATTGTTATTCGCCGATCTGCATCAACTAATGCCTTTCTAGTGTCTTTACCAGCTTCAACCGTACTTCTTGGACGTGGTGCTCTTATTGGATATCAAAATACCAGAAATGAAATTTAGCAAACCAGTTTTGGCACTTTTGTACTATCAATACGTCATTTCCATACACTTAATTCTTTTCGTATTTAAAGTGACACCATCCAAAAACTACAGCGAGTAAGAGGGCGATTTTTAGACCCCCCTCCCCATGATGGTGATACTCGATGACATTTTTAGTTACGTAAAAAAACTGTAAAATTTTTATTTTTTTTAACTTTTTTATAAAACATAGTAAAAAAAATGAACACACGTGATATCTTGCTATACCCCTCCCTCCCCCAAGTGATATTTCGTGATATTTTGTCAAACCCTCCCTCCCCCTAAAACCTCACGCGCTTAATGGAAGCCCCCTAATTGATTAAAATTTTTTACCTACAAACCTTAAAATCTAAGCTTTCAAATCATATATTGATTATAGGGCTTAAGTGTGATTTTAGGTTTAAAAAAATATAGTTAAATCCTAGGTGATAAAAAATGAAATGACTTTCCGAACAACCTTATACCACAATTTATGAGACTTTATCAAGGTGATAGGCAACTGAACAGAGTGTTTATTATTTTCTTCCAATGCTTATAAATTTTCGTTTACCTCAAAAGTTCTAACAGAATTCAGCAATGCTAGCATATCTGGCTGATCTCGTTCTTGCACCACATCTATAATTGATACTTCATTCTCATCTACTATATCCAAAATGTGATCATAGCCTTCTACTAACAGAGCAGTTATGCTCGCTACTTCACCTAAAACAATATTTGTTTTACCCAAATTAATCAAGACCAAGACATATTTTTTAAAATAATTAGAAAAATGATTTTCTTACCTCTGGCTGCAAGATGGATGATAAATCTGTCGATTTCCTTGGTATTCTCTGGTAATCCAGCCTGTACAGAAACATCTCTGGCAGTTCTATAAAGTTCGTCTCTATATGCTGGACTGATGCCACTTTCTTGAAGCAACTGGAAAAGAGCGCCTCTACCATGAGATCTTGCTGCTGCAAAATGCAGCATGGATTGTCCATGTTCGTCCTATAAATATAAAAAATAGTTTATTAGAATAATATATAAAAGCAAAATATTTTAGAAAAAATATATGATAACGTTAAAATAACGGAAATTTTATCACGTAAAGCAGACGGTTATCATAGTTCTAAGGTATACGTCTTATTATGTATGTAGTGTAACCTGACTTTTTTTTAGTCTGTCAATTCGTGTGATAAGTTGTTTTTGAAGTAAAACTTCTTTAGGCGCGACTAGGATGTAAATCTGTAAAAATGCAACGAAAGAGCTTTACAAGCGATTCGAGTGCCAATGATTCGTCATTCGCTTTCGATGATATGTTTTTTATACGGGTCGATTGCGATTGGTCGTCGTGATGCGTGAGTATGATTGCTTTGATTGTATGCGTATACGTAGTATGTCCCCGCACATAGTGAAAATAATAAAACAAATAAAAAATCTGTGCAGCGTAAGAAACGTAAGTTTATTGAAATAATTTGTATTATTCGTGGTTACTATATATTTTTAGAATTTATTTTTATATGCTGCTCAAAGAATGAGACTATAACGCTAGCGAAATAGTCAAAAAAACAAACAGTCAATGAATGTATATTAATTTTAATTACATCACAAGTGAAACAACTGTTTTCGTTCAAATGCTAAAGCTTACAATTTCATTTTACTGATCCTGAACATAAAGTATATTAAAAATAAAGAATAAATAGAAAACAAAGTTGCATATTTTTATAAATAATGAAGAACAAATTGATATTTAGATTTATTACTCTAAACAAGAAATCAAGCACAGCAATAGTTTGTTGTATCATTTATATACAGATATACTTCATAATGGACATCTATGCAATTAATTTATTGCTAGTATTAATGAAATGTAGTATGTCTACTGCGTGAACGAATATTATAGAAATTATGAATCAGCAATTACTTTATTTCTCTGATGCAATTTCTCTAAGGTTCAAGTTCTAAATGCTAATTACAATGACAAACCGATCATATCGTAAATATATAATTTATAATTTATTATTATACAAATACGTATAAGGGGGTCTTCCTATGTGACGGCCTGTTTTTTAGGGATATTTTAGAATTTTTTTTCTACGACCAGTAAATAGTTAGAGCTTCAAGTTTTTTATCATTTATTAATACATATTTGGACAGTATAAATATAAAATTTCAGCTAAAAAAATTTAGTTCAACTAGAGTTACAGCGCTCTAAACACCCCCCCTCAAAAAAAAGAGCTCCCACTTTCTCCACGATTCCGGCTGAACGGCTTATCTGAAAAAAAAAATAAACGGCGTTTTAATTTGTAAGCTTAAAAGCACGGAATGAACTACAATCAAATGAATATAAAAAAAAATGAATGTTTTATAGACATTTGAAATAAAAGATGCAAATTAGGCGTTTTTTTTCTTTTTTTGCTATAAAAAATCGAAGTTTTGATTTTTTGATTGATAATAGTTTATTCCATGCGTTTAAATATATTGAGTGTGCCCTGTAAATTTCAAGTAATTCGGTCCAGCCGTTTCTGATAGACGGAAATGGAGGAAAATTTGAAAAACACAGTTTTGAGAAAAACGCGTTTAAAGATAAAATGATCGTTGTACTATATACTATATGTATACTTTTTAAATAGCTGTAACTCAAAAACTATTTGAGATATTGATTTGAAATTTTAATATGTTATTTTTAAAGGTATATTCTACCGAAATATGAAATAAAAAAATTCAATTTTTTCAACTCATCACATAGGAAGACCCCCATAATGTTTGACATTAAAAAATGTGTCCATCGTGATTGTTACCGTATTACTACCAAACATTTTTCAAACATGTTATATGATGTATTTATTTTTAACTTAAATGTCATCTCGACAGCAAAACAGTTTCACTTCATTCGCGTGTGAACCATACGCGCACTCTGTTTTATTGTCACTTAATCCTCTTCAAATTTAAAGTTTATGATAATTGTGAAAGTTTTGGATATTGGTTATGTCCTTCATATTTGAATGAACAATAAAAAATAGATTGGCAAATCCTGATCTTGCATTGTAAAATGAGAAAATTGAAACACACAATCCAAAAATGTGGCCAAACTTAAACCAGCATTCAATTATCTCACTGCGATGGTAATTATTTCAATAATTATGGTTTGACGCAATGCTATCTAAGATAAGATTTGCCAAAGTTACAATCGTCTAAAAATTACATTATTTTAAATATCCAGAACTTTTTGTTTTATCAATTACACAAATAAAGCCATAATCCTTGACAGAGATGACTGCAATACCAGCGAAATCTAATTGTTGACTGTTGTAATGTAGCACAGGAAAAAAGAAATATTATGAATAATGAATATTATTAATGAAAATAGTTATAAATAATGTGAAGGGAAGAAAAACTTTGTAAAAAATCTTCTCGACAAAAAGCAGTTGATATAAAAATTTAAAATTAGTATTGAAATGAAGAAGTTGCATACTTGACTACGTAGTTGAGTAGAGCTTTGGAATCTGAGGAACAGTTTACAAAACTAGAAAAAATTGAAAAACCAGTACAATAGAAAAAAGCATAATAATAAAAATATGGATCTGTATCAGTTAATATTATATTCAGATACCATCTGCAAGAAATTATTTTTCTTACCCTGTCTTCACTGCTCACAGCAGTTTCTGGAGCATCAGTGTCATCCTGTTGTTGATTTTCAGGCAAAGATCGATCAATAGCAACTGCTTCTATAACATGAGGTACACCTTGGTCATTCCCTGGATTTTCAGCTTTATTTCCTGGTGCTTCGGCATCTCCAGTTACTAGAACAGCAGATTCCTGGAAAATACCGTTCCGATTTCTTGTTAGATATTTGAACAAAATTTTACAAATCATATGGATACTGAGATTTAAAAAACTATATAAATCTATACAAAATAAATCGTATTCAAAATAGGACATAAAGGAGTTAAAACTAATTAAGAAATAGATTTCAGGAAATTTGGTTTAAAATTCTATTGCAATATAAACAACATATTTAATAATAAATGCATTTCTTACATTTATTATTAAAAATATTTAATCTCCTTCATATTATAATATTGTAATCATAAGTTAAGTAATTACTTAATTTCAGCTTCTATACTCTAAAATAACTGCCACTACAATTTTGTAAAACAATTAAATTATTACTGAAAAAATACTTCTACGAACACTGTTGATTTCTGAAAATAACAGTTCTAATATTGAATTGATATTAATATTGACAAAATTTTGATAAGAAGTAATAGTCCAAAAAATACTATATTTAAATTTCCTAACAAATAATTGACATTAAAAATTTTAGTATTAATATATAGTTGCAGCATACGTACCGTTGTTTTCACTCTAGATTTATTCTGATTGTCAAAATTATAAAGGTAAGTGGCAAGAAATGATATTGGGTCCTTCGGTCTCTTGTTTGCGACCTCAGTTAGTCCTTTTATTAGTGGATCTCCTAAGGCTGCAATAAAATAAATTATGAAGAAAATTAATTAGAAAGAAATTTATATGAGATATTTTTATCATATATTCATGTAATCTTAAGATTATAATGCATTATAATATTTTACTCTTAATATGTTATATAGTTATATTTTATACTTAATTATTCTGATTTTTGAATGAATTATAAACAGCAAATTTATTACACTTAGCACATCAATACTTTCCTAAGACAACTAGCTTGAATTTCCCGATATGTGTAAATAAAGGACTTAATTATATCAATATGATTTGCAAACGTCCGCTTGTCTACATTTTTACTTTCTAAATGTCTACCAGCCTACATTTATGCCTGTCGATCAATCTACCTGCCTACCTGTCTACCTCTCCAACTAGTTTTCTTTCTATTTACCACTCTGTCAACCAGTCTACCCATTAAACTGTTCATATGTGTACCAGTCTACCTATCTACCAGCCTACCCGTCCACCTATTTACTTGTCTATCTATCTATCTATCTGACTATCTGTCTACCTGCCTACCAATAACTCCATTTGTATATATCAACAAGAATAATTTATAATGATCATTTAGACCACCAAATGGGTTTTTTAAGTTCCCATAGGGTAACGGATCAACTGAATTGAATGATCCAAAAAACATTCGATTCGTAATGATGGGGAGAAGTAGTGATTACATATTAGCAAAGCAGGTCCAGCCGTTTCCGAGATACAGAGCTAAATGTGCAAAAAAATTTTGGGAGAACTAAGCATCCGATTTGAATAATTTATAAGAGTTTCTTTAAAAATAATTAAAAAAAATATTTTTTTGAATAACGAAAAATAATTTGGGATTTAATTCTAACTCTAGCTAAAGTTCTAAACATCGCTTATAATACTTTAAATATTTATAATAATCTATTTGAATATATTTCATATTCCTCGAATATTTAATTAAGGAACGGTAAGCTCCAGCAATTTGCCTTAAGGCACGATGCCATACACCACTAGTTTTACTTTTATTTCTGCATATATAATTTTTTCATTAATTATTTCTGCCTTCCCAAAAATGTAATCAATTCTTCATTCCGCCAATACAAGTAAAATGTTTTATGAATAGTTTTAATCGGATGCTCCGTTCTCTCAAAAACAGCATTGCCATTTGTTGCACTTTTTGCTTCGTACCTCCGAAATGGCTAAATCTGTCTTTGCCAAAAACTAATAATCTCTCCGTCAACAGAATAATTCTCAATTTGTGCTCTTGAAATCGTAAACAAAAGTTGTATCTGAGCATATATACATAACTATACGCATACATAAATTTTTCTAAAGTATCCCAAAATGCTTAAAAGACTTTGAAACATAAAGATATCAAAAAAAAAAAAATGACAATTACTATAATTTAACCGATGGTTGCTTTGTTAATAAATAAAAATAAAAACTAGTTGGTTTGGTATTTAGCCTTGAGGCAAGTTACATGAACTTCCCGATATATTTAAATAATCGACTTAATCAATAAAAAAATTAATTTATGAGTCATTAAAGTCATTAAAGTATTCCGAGTGGATTTATTACACATAATTGAAAACGAACGAACACTTTGACTCGGAGTATTTTCTAAAAGCAAATTTTCAAAAATCAATAATTTTTATAATTGAACCAGTTTTCAGGATTTTAATGGTTTATTATGTTCAAGACCAAGTACTCTATCATTATACTAAGTAAATAGTCAAATTTTAATTTTAACAAATGTCAAAAGAGCTACTCAGTTTCTCAAACTTTGATGAATTTTTAAAATCAAACTATTTGTCGTAAGGTCGTAATATTTCAGTAAGTTCTATAAGACCATGGTATATATCGCTAAAAAAAATTCCATAAAAATCGGCTTAAATTTTTTTTTCAACAGTTAATTACAAGAAAACGGCTCGGTAGATTTTCACCTAAAACTGATCAGTATCATTCCCAACTAATATCTTTCGAACAGTTTTTGATTTTTTAAAATCGGTTCAGTAGGATGAGCTTAAATGCGAACAAAAAGTTTAACACTTTTTTTCAAATTACAAAGAAACGGCTTGGCAGATCGTCGCACAAAACTGACAAACGATAGTCCTCACCGAAATACATCAAATGGCTTTTAAATTTCTGAAATCGGTTCAGGCGCTTTTGAGAAAACGTCGATCAAAAGTCTAATTTTGACAAATGTCAAAAAAACTATATCAGTTTTTGCAATTTTTGACGAATTTTTAAAGCTAAACGAGTTGTCGTAGGGCCGTAATATTTTAGTATGACCTAGAAAACTATGGTATCTACCGTCAAAAAAAAATCATAAAAATCGTCGATTTTTTTTTTTTAAAAACGTTATTACAAGAAAACGGCCCGGCCGATCTTTACCAAAAACTAATCAGCACGATTCCCAACCAATAGCTATCGAATGGTTTTTAAATTTTCAGAATCGATTCAGAATTGCGGGCTAAAACGTGGACGATTTTTTTTTCACTTTTCTGCAATTTACAAAGAAACGGCCCGGCCGATCGCCGCACAAAATTCAGAGACGATAGTCCTCATCCAGATACATCAAATGGTTTTTAAATTTTTGAAATCGGTCCAGCCGTTTTGGAGGAAACGTCGATTTACGGCAAAAAATCTGTTCACACACACACACACATACTTTTTCCAAATTTGGTCTCATTTGATTCAGAATGGCTCGAAACGTCGAGAAAACATAAAATTAGCAAATCGGATTTTTTTTATGAGAACATAAACTTCTCCTTCGGGAAGTTAATAAAATAAGTATGCCAATTATACTAAAAATTTACATATGGTTTCAAAATTTACATAGCTATGTACAACTTTTTTCTCAAATATTAATAAATCTATAAATCTTTGTAGGAATATCTATATTTATCTTTACCGCTGGCTAAATATCGTCCTTCCTCAGTCCGAAAAAGTGGAATATCGACAGAATTATTTAAATCTTGATCTTGTTCATTATTTTGCTCCAACTCTTCATTTTGTTGTATTTCTTCACCATTAGTTGTTTCTTGAGAATCACTCTGGGTTATGTTTTCCTTTCTTGGTGGAATAATATCTGCAATAAGAGTTTCAAATAAAATAACAATATTGGAATTTTATATATCACAAATTTGAAGAAAGATATTTCTTGAAGAATCTCTGCAATTAAATTTAAATGAAATATGAAAATTAGTCAAGTTATTCTAAACTAAAATATTTACAATAATTTAATTATTATTTAGACCAATCTAACTAAATGTCACTTGTGCTACATATAATTTGTGAATTGAGAACTTAATATTATAATATGTGTATTATACAACAATGTGAAAGACTACCTCTTTCTAAACATAATTACAATAGTGTGCCATGAGGACAGTAGATTTGATGATCAATATTTAGGTTCATCATTTAGAATCATCATTTAAAATGTTTTAATTAATATGGTGCAGTGTACAGTAGACATCTAAATAATTTATCTAAATTGCATCGAAGATGGATAACTAAAGATTTCAACAAAAATATCAATCACTTTCTAATAGATAATTTTTTCTTAAGCTGCCTACAAATCTTAGTAAAAGTATCTCATTAGAAATCTTCTAAATTGCTTGACGCCATATTTGATATTCCAAAATGGGGATCAAAATTATTATTATTATATTATTATTAACAGCTTATAGAATATAATTGTTGGATTGCCATTCAATATATAAGAAAAAAACAACAGAAGAATAAGAAGTTTCAAAAATGCATTTACAAAGAAATATAACTAATATTTCTATTAAATAGATATTTGGACAAATGTTTAATTTAGATACTTATAAAATAGACGTAGGATAGAAATAGTTTTGAAAAATATATCCTCATTACAGTGTCATCTCCTATACGAGTATATATAAAAATAAGTCGGGTTTTCCTTCCTGACGAAATAACTCCAGAACGCACGAATCGATTTTGACAATTTTGCGTTAGTTGGAAAGGTTTCGGGCTCCGCAAGGTTTATAGGTAAGAAAATTAGTGGTGCATGGCATCGTGCCCTAATGCAAAACGCACTGTAATTAAAAATTCGAGTGTTCGAGTAAAAATTAGTGAGAATTATCAGAATTATGCTTGATTAAGTCAACGAGCAATTCTTGCCGCAAAGAATAATGATGTACACGCACTGAATTTCACCATTCAATCAAAAATTGCTGGCGATTTGGTGACATACCAATGATTTCGACTGGTCTTCCGTTTGACTTCAAACGATTGCAATTTTCAGTTCGCCTTGCGTTCGCAATGACAGCTAACAAGTCGCAAAGCCAATCAGTTAGTGTTTGCGGGATAAATTTCAAATAGATTATTCAGAAAATCATTGTTTTTCACATGGGCAGTTATACGTTGCCTGTTCACGAGTTGGAAAACCATCCGCTTTGTTTGTGTTAACGTCAGACGAAAAAACAAAAAATGTGGTTTACCAAAGAGCACTTCAATGAAACGGATAATTAGCGGATTCACTTTCATTTATTTAGAGAAGTTCAACTAAAAAACACTTCATTTTTGTAATCGAAATAAATTCATTACTGTTGTATAATAAAATCAATTTTTTTTCTTTTCAAATATAAAACAAACAAAAAATTTCTTCATCTTTCTCACGAAACCATCTGGTGGCGAAACGGAGTTCGTCGGGTTTGCTAGTGATTTATAAATAAAATACTAATTATTCCACTATGCAGTTACAGAACAATGTGCTAATATACTTAAATGAGTAAAAAGGTGAAAATTTAGGGTTTTACGTGTTTGCACAGTAATGCGAAAGTGTTCTGCTATATTTGGTTTGCTAAAATTTATTTTAGTAATTTTTTACTACTTTTAAATTCCCGTAGGGTAAGTTATAGCAATCGCAAAAAAAATTAAAATGAAAAATGAAAATTTTTATATATCTTTACCTTTTAGAATTTTTGAACATTTTGGCATGTGTGTGTGTTTGTGACAAATTTTTGTCGACGATTTCGGGAACACAGTTCAACCGATTCGAATGATTCAAAAGACGTTTTGAAAATTTTTCTTCAAAAAGTCTTTTTTCATAAAAAAAGGAAATTTTTGTCAAAAATTTATAGTTTCTCAAAAATCTAATTTTTTCAGAGTAATTTTTTTTCAAAAATGTTAATCTTTTAAAAAAAAATTTTTGGTACCGGAAGTTCCAACAATTTGCCCTAAGGCACGATGCCACGCGCCCTACTAGTTTTGTCTAAATTTTCGTACCAAGATTTTTAATTACCGTACTGGAAGTTCTACCAATGTGCCTTAAGGCACGATGCCATGCACATCACTAGTTCATTCATCATCAATAAAAATGATAATGCTTCTTGTATTTTGTGCTAATAACAGAAAATTTATGCCAAATATTACAATTTGTGATTATATCATGCAAGCATAATTTTAACTATACACATAATATTACACATAATATTAAAATATTACAAGTAAATTAGTAGTTATTATATTAACTAAATTTTCTGTAACATATATGCATGCTTCCATAAATACTACATCTAATCTTAATTAATTTTGAAAGATTAAAAAAGCTATTTTCTTTAATTTTTCATAAAGGATTAAACAAATGTGTAATCTATTTTACTAACATACACCAGTTATAAGCATAAATGTTGGAAAGATATAAAAAAGTGACATATTTTAAATTATTCAACAAGTTTTAAGTTAGTAAACAAATAGTGCTTTTATAAATATGTTTTTATATTTTTCTGTTAAATGTGGACACACTGATATGAGCACATAAAAAGCTTTGGCATATTGCGAAAATTTAGCGTGACCATCACATAAAATATTCCAAAATTTATTTTAGATAGATCAATTAATTAATTTGAATAAAATGATGAAACATGAATATTAATATAATAAACTTTTTGAAAAATTATATAAAATTAGACCGGCACCACACATCTAGATTCGTCATCTGAACTACTATAGAACTATGAAAGGTTATTTAATTATGAACAATTATTTATATTCTAAGAAAATTAAATATTAAAATTAAATGTTTTTAAAGTTTAATCTCATGGTTTTAAGGTTGAATTTGCAACTTTGCAAATACCTCTCTAATTGACCACCAATATACCTATTGATTATCAGTCTACCAATTTAGGTGCCCACCGCCAATTTACCTGTTCAACAATTTACCTGTCAACAATTTTACCTGCCTACCAATTTACTTATTAACCAATTTACTTGTTAGATAATTTATCTGTTATCCCATTTTACATGTCTACCAATTAACCTTCAACCAGTTTATCTGCCTACATCCAGTCTATCTACCATTTTAACTAACTACAATTTTTTACATATCCTCGAATTTACCTGTCCACCAGCTTACGTATCTTCCAATTTACCTGTCTACATGTTCATCAATATACGTATTTACCTATCTACCTATTAATCTGTATACCTATTTACCTATCCACCAATACTTACTTTGACTTTATGACTAATCGAATTTAAGGACAGTATTTTAGTATATTCACATGGACAAACGTACAAATTTCCATTTAATTTAGGTACAGTTCTACCAGCTAACTGATGAAGTAATTTAATAATTGCTATTCAAATCCCAGTGTTCCCTTCTAAAAATTTGTTTAATTACATTGTTAGAGCAAGTAAGTTGTACTGTGTTCACAAAGTAGATAAAATTCATTTAGATATTCGAATACAGCAAAAGCGTATTTGATTCCAATATGTAGGTTTATAAAATAATATTAATTTCAATAAAGGGATAGATAATTTCAAGTTTTTTTAGTAAGTTTCATATAAATACATGGTAAATCTAGCAATAAAATGACTCGGATTCTTAGACTTAATACATGGACTGCTACAAAGAAGGGGACTGTGACGACACTCGATGAACGAGCGTTGCCGACAATCATGGAAGACTCCCGACTAATTAAATGTCATATGTCGTGTGCTTAACCTAAAATTAAATATATTATACATCATAGTAGTTAATGTAATTCGAATATTATCTGTAATAGTTTCATTTCAATTGTTTGAACTGATAATTTTGTAAGAATTTTGATATTATTAATATTGCCCCTGTGAAATAAATGACAATAAAATCATATCCACCTGTTAAAATCGTTTTATATATTACAAGGTCTGTGCATACGACATTTAATCATTTGGGAGTGTTCCACGATTGTCGGCAACGCTTGTCCATCGAGTGACGTCACAGTCCCCTTCTATCTTTTGACACTTATTTTGCGCTTGACTAGCAGTCCATATAGTGTAAGGTTTATGCTCCGAGTGCGCAATTCTTCATAAAATATTGTTCCAAAGTTGTGTGAACAAAAGAGGCTTAAAATTTTGAGCAATTTAAAATACAGCAGCATGTATATGGTAATAGTTTTTTCATATTTAATTTTATGTACATGCAAGACAAAAATAGCAACAAATTATTATTCATTGGCAATACATGCATCGTATATTGAAAAAACTTTCTTATACAACATGCAATTTAATTTTTACTGTCTCCTTATTTACCCAATTACCGCATTTGTTCTATAAATAAAAATAATTTATTGAATATAGACAAACTATTTGACTCAATAATACCAATTCGAGACGAATTTTTTGATAACCATCGGGAATAATCATTAGAGTTGAAAACTTGAAATAAGCATATATACAGGTTGTTCCAGACCTTAACGTCAAGTCGAAATGTGGTGCTAGTATTACAACACGATTCTTACATTTTTTCTGGACATTTTCTTTATACAAAATATGGTTTTTATTTATACAAAAATTTTCAACAATAAAATATCACGTATTTTACCATTCTACGATCCTTACTATTTGCGCCAATTTTTGATCAAACTTGGCAACGCACTTTAGTACAATTTTCTCTCCTAAAGTCAACCACAAATTCTTAAATTCATAATTCATAAAAACTTGAGACAATTTTGATATTTTTTTACTATGATCCTAGAAATGTTATTCACGGTATTGGTTCTAAAGTTTAAATGAACAAAATTAATAAAAATAAACCACAATAAACGAAAAATAGTCATAATTTCACCAAAGCTCATAATTTTCAAACAACGTGAGATATTTTTTAACTTCCCGTAGGGTAAGTTATAGTAATCGCAAAAAAATCGAAAATGAACATTTTTATTTATCTTTACGTTTCAGAGGTTTCTGAACATTTTTGTATACCTCAGAAAACATGGATGTATGTGTGTGCGTGTGTGTGTGTGTGTGTGGATACTAATTTTTGTCGACGATTTCGCGATCAACCGGTTCGAATAATTAAAAAAACTTTTGATTCCTACTTATAAAAAGACGTGCTTATTAGTTTTTGGCAAAGGCAGGAGGTTCGGAGATACGGGGCTAAAAGTGCCAAAAATGGTATTTCAGTTTTAGAGAAAATGAGCGTCCGATTTAAATAATTCAAAAAATATTTTACTTGTATTGACGAAATAAACAACTGGTAAATTTTTGTAGAAGCAGGTCCAGCGCTCCGAAGATCCAATAAAAAAATGCCACTCAGATATGCAGCGCGATTGTTAAAAAAAAAAAATATCAAAATTTCGAAAAAATCTAATTTTTTCAACGTTTTGCAAAGTTTTTTTTAATTAATTAATTTTCGTCACGGGAAGTTTCAGCAATTTGTCTTAAGGCACGATGCTATGCACCAATAGTTCTTAAAATTTTTCAGGACAGTTAAGTCGATACTATCACCCTGTTTCGGCTTGACGATGAGTTCTGGGACACACTGTATAAATAAGACGCAAAAGTGTGTGTATATTTCTAGTAACGATATCATTCTAAATTTTGTTATTTTAGCAATAAGTATTAAGATTTAAGAAACTTTTCATGCGACTTCAATTCGTTCTAGATGTGCGATACTTATTCAAAATAGTTTCCGACTTTAAAATTCAAAAGTTTTTTATAAATTTTTGGAATTTTATTTTGGATATATCATTTGGAATATTTTATAACAATTGCTATTTGCACCACATCGAACAGCAAGTTTTATTACTAACCTAAACCAGTAGTTAAGAGTCCACAGTATCATCGAATGGCCAGTATTTAGAGCCTTTAACTAATTCAAAATCATTATTTTGAAATTCTTTAAAAATAATATCATAAAGAATTTAAAATCTTTCCAACAAATATTTGAATCAAGTATTTACATACACAAACAGCCTCACAGAGTAAGAGTTAATAGGTTGACAAAAGCATCATTGTATATACAGCACTGACAAAGATAATAAATTAATAAAAGATTTATGCAAAAGTCCAATTGAGAAAGCTAAATTTACACAGTCTTAGTAGTCATTTTCTTCTCATATTATTTTATTTGATGATCAGCTTTTTAAAATCCATGTATTAAAAATTTTGGTCCAGAATTAGAAAATCAGTCCAACGTTGTCTCAGTCAATCTTTAAAAATAAGATTAGTGTATAAAATTCACATTAATTGAAGCTGTTATAAAATTTTGTTTGCATTTTTGGTCCATATTGTCTAAAGTCGAAATGGTGAGTATTATTGCATTTGAGTATTATACTATTATCTATACATAAATGCTTTCGTGTTACCAAGCAAATATATTTATTTAAATGCAGCCTTATAAAATAATCATCATTCGTCTATCTTCTATCCATTCATTGATGTTTTTCTTCGAAACAAGTTCAAAAAACTTCTAGCTATATGCAACGTGTTCTGCGACACCATTTCTTTCTCCAAAACCAAAATATTCATAACAGCAGTTGCAAAATCTCTGAAACATTGGTCCTCAGTAACGCTCAAACTTTGAAGATTTGACATCCTCACTATGTCATGATTTAATTTACTTGTTCTCGAATAAATTCCACGAACATGACACATATGCTTTAAATTTTCAGGCTCCTTGGTCAATTGTGGCAAATGTGCAATTACTGTGAATTTTAACCCATTTCCAATACAGAAAGGTCTTGCTGATAGCCATCCTAGAACTGGATGCCTCTTGAAAATTAAGTATTCTTCTAAACTGCGAGTGACTTCAGCCATTTTAGCATAAGCCAATCCAATTTTGTCAGGATCAACAGATGGTGCACATGTTACAACACGAATGTGATCCAAAACATTTATCCAAATTGCAGTATCATGGGCTTGGTTTACAAAAACACCACGACCATATGGCCAATTTTTGCCATACAAACGTTCCTGCAAACTATCGCCATCAGTGCCTGTGCTAACTTCACAAATTGGTATAAGCAAACCCAATGATGTCAACTTTGCTCTTATTTCAGAAGGTCTTTCCAAAATTTCATTCATGGTGTAATATATACCCTCATCAAAAGCTCTACTTAGCAAAAGTTGCGTAAGCACTTGCTCAACGTCTTCTAATTGTTTGACTGTTAAATTCACAGGCAACTCATAGTAATCTAAGTTTCTAGAAACTTCTATTACACTAGATATCAAAATCTTGCCTTGAGCATCAAGCCTAAGATCACTCAAACCTTTATTCTCATTAAAATATGTCTCTGGCTGTTTTGGCAAATCAAACTTCAAATTCTGTCGGTGCAAGTGTTTCAAAAACTGCCATAAAAATTCTGGATAAACCTCATAAGTATCAAAATCCGGTATCAACACACCACCTATAAAATCTTCCTCAAAACAAGAAATCACACCGCGTTCTTCGGGTAATTTTTTGACCCCAGGCCAAATGATGTCAAATAAATCATGATCTTTTCTGGTGACCCGTTTCTTGACACGGTCGAAAGGTTCTCGTCGAAGGAATTTGGATAATGTTACCATAGCTGGTGTTTGATAATGAGAAGCTAGTGTTCCCGTAGGAAGCGATGCAGTATGAAGACGTATTCCTTGGAGCAGGGAGAAGCAGCGTTCCAAAGTTGCCAATCTATCAGCATCATCCAGTTGGCGGCGCGATGAGAACTTGTCGTTGGGAACTAACATTGATTTAAACTTTTTTGGAAATATGTATAATTTTATTTAGAGCGAGGTGCATCAAATTATTGAAAAAGATAGTGGATCAGTTAATACATACTACTACTATTATCGAAAAATTAGTTATTGTTTTATTGTTCCAGACAATACTACTTCAAGAAAAAAGTTCATGCATGTCCACAGACTGTGGTTATGAGTATGATGATTACAACTTCTATAACAAGTTTGATCAGAACACTCATTTTCATAAAAAAATGCCTGGACAAATATGTTGAATACTTCATTTTTGTTTCAAAAAGTAATTAATGGGGCAATTCTTCGTTGACATGGCAACGCTATCTTATGCTTGTTATTTTTGGTAAAACTTATGAAAATGTCTGTCTATTTGCTGTGCGATCAGGCGTATTTTGCATATAAACAAGCAAGGAAGGATGTTATGGTAACTGCACCATCTAGAATTCTGTTATCATGACATTTTTCCTTGCTTGTTTATATGTAAAATACGCCTGATCGCACAGAAAATAGATAAACATTTACATAATTTTCACTACCAATAACAAGTATAAGATAGCGTTGCCATGACAACCCTATTTTATGTACTCTGTTACGGCAGAATTGCCCCATATAACAGAATAATATTTTAACTGAATCAAAATATTAAAATGATCATGATAAGTATAAAAATATTATAATATAGGATGCAAAATCAAAATCAATGCAACTCGCTCAATTTATAATTGAAATTTAAGTAAATAAATATTACTTTATCATTATTAATATTTTATAATTATTCAAGTTTGTAAAAACATTAGGATCAAAATAGAAAGAGATATTATATTGAAATAATGGTTAAAATAGACAAAAAGATTATTAACTTTTCGACTAAATTGAACTGAAATTAAGAGCTAATAGTAGTGCTTTTTCATTTCTAAAAATCTAAATCTAGTAAAGTGTACATTCAAAAACATGCCTGTATACAAGATTTTTTATATAAAGATAATTACTTAAAAAAAAACAAAAATAATTTTTGGCACCGAAGAATATAAGTAAACGTTATTAGGATATATTGTGGTAAATATAGCACAGTAAGTATTTCAATATTACTTTACCTTTTCAATTATAAGAAACAAAATTAACTATGTACATTTTAAAAAATATTCTGGCTGTATTGTAACTCTCTGAATGCTATTAGTCAAAATTGAAACAATTAAAAATCTTACCATTGTCCTTCAAATTTTGATTTATGACATATCCTTCAGATCCATAGTCCTTGAGCAATCCATCCAATGATAATTCTTCGTTATTGTGATTGTAATATTCAGGTGTATGACCCAGCTAAAACACAAAAATTAATTTAATAGTCTATCAAGTTAGAGAAAATTAGTCATAATAAACTTGAAAAACATTCAAGATGATACAACAAAACTAAATATCTTGGTGTACATCTTAAATATTATTGTCAATAAGCTTGTAAAGAAGAGGGCAGGTAATACTAATTAATAGATCAATGATCATTATATCCATGCAACTGAGTTATTAAAGTAAAACTTTTTTAGGCGCGGCATGGGTGTAAATCCGTACAAATGCAACGGAAGTGAGTTACGGCAAGGTCGAGTGCCAATGATTCGCCATTCGCTCTCGATGTTATCATTTATAAACGGGTTGATTATAATTGGTCATATTTGTGTGAGGATTCTTTGTATGCGTGACTTTATACGTGCGTACGTTACCGAAATCGTGAATCATATTGTTCATTTATCGGTGTTTCATATTATTACATTTTAAGGTTAAATATTAGTACAAATCTTAAGTTAATAAAAAATGTCTGGATTAGAAGAATATTTTATCCCGTCCCCCATAAATAATTATAGTGCAAATAATAAAGCAAATGAAAAATCTGTGCCGTGTAAGACACTTAAGTTTATTGAAGTACTTTGTATTGTTCGTGGTTACTATATATTTTGGAGATTATTAAAATGAAAATTAACTTTATATGGAAGATGCAACAACTGTTCAAAGAATGAAACTGTATCGCCAGCAAAAAACTAAAAAAAACAAGCATCAATGATTGTATGTTAATTTTAATTACATGACAAGTGAAATTGTGAAAACAATATTTATTTAGGCGTTGTTTAACATAATAATTCTCTGTATTTTTATAGATATTAAAAATATATTAAAGCAGTACAGCTTTATTGTAACATGCCGAAGATATATCTTTTTCAGAATTATATCTCAGACACATTTAAAAGTTTAGAGGAAGTCTACATTAGGGTTCGTCGGTTTTCAAAAACCGGTTTTAAAAACCGGTTTTTGTCAAAAATTATGGAATTCGAAAACCGGTTTTTTAGTGAAAAAAGTCGGTTTTCATGTTATAAATAGAAAATGACAAATATACCCGAATATAAAAGATAGATGAAAGCGTTTTGATTCTTAAAATCATCGGTTCAATAGCATTTGATATCTTATTAGTGTGCAATAGTCCACAGAAAGGTTTTGTATATTTTATATTAATTAAGATTTTTTATACTAGAGTATATTTTGATTTAAATCCATGTGACTTCTTCTTGAAGAAGTAACTTCCTCTACCCAAACTTAAAAGAAAAGAGTTTTAAACCCTAGAAGCCACAAATAAAAGAAGAAAAAGCTTAGAATTATTATATCAGACTTTAAAAACAAGCATAATTTGGTCGCAAGTATGAGAGTATTTTCTATTTCAGTAGCAATTCGATAGACGTTTTCAGTTTTTTGAAATCATAATTCATTAAACAAAAAAAAAAACAATCAGAATGTTGAAAATTAATTAATTAAAATTGCTCAGAACAGGCAATACCCGAGTTTAGCTTAATTGTTTTTAAAACTAAAATTGATATTAACAAGTATGTAACAACATGTATCTATTTTTTTCTTTTATTTTAAAATGTATTATTCATATCTATTCGAAAACTTTCCTTTCACTATCATAAAAATATTTTCATTCTTATATGTGAAAATGATTAATGAATAACGAATAATTATTTTCAAAGTTATTTAATCAAGATAAACTATTATTATTTTTTAGTTCTACTAATTCAAATTAAAATAATTTTGTTTACTATTCATAAAATTGAACAATGAATAAATTCAGTTAAATACTGCTCTAAATCGCACTAAATTTGCGGATAAATTACAGAATATTCGAGCAAAAATTTATTTTCCATATAAAATTCGAAAACCGGCTAAAACCGGTTTTTTAGCAAAATTAAAATTCGAAAACCGGTTTTCTGAAATGTCGGTTTTTGTATAAACCCTAGTCTACATGTTGCAAAGTTGCATATTTTTATAAATAATGAAGAATTAATTGATATTCAGATTTATTAGTCTAAACAAGAAATCAAGCACAACAATAGTTAGTTTAGCTGTGTATCATTTATATACAGATATACTTCATAATAGACATCTATGCAGTTTATTTATTGGTAGTGTTAATGAAATTATTTAAGATTGTTATATTATAGCTGTCCACTGTGTGAACGAATATTATATAATTTATTAATCAGCAATTACTTTATTTCTCTAGTTCAAGTCCTAAATGCTAATTCTAATGACAAACCGATCATGTCGTGTTTGAAGTATGACTTTAATTGCATTATTGTTTTTGAATATTATAAATGTTTTTGATGCTTTTATAAATTTATAATTTAAGTAATAAGCAAAAAAGTTTTACTTCAATCGCGTGTGAACCTTACATGCACTCTTTTTTATACTGTTCAGAACTAATAATGATTATTTTACTTACATCATCTTCGACTTTGGTATCCGCACCCAAAGACACCAATATTCCATAATAATGACCATTATCTGGAATAGCAGCAGCGTAATGGAGAGCCGTCCTTCCTTTATCATCCCTGGCTTCTAGTGTTTCAGGAAATCTGCCGGCTAAATATCGAACAACCCCTGTATGCCCAAATAGTGTAGCGGCATGCAGGGGCGTAGCACCGTGAGGGGTCGTTAAATCTTTAGCAGTGGCAAACTTGCGACGATCCAAAGCTGCTTGAAGATCACGTAAGGAGCCCTCTCTGGCCGCAACGTGGACGCGCCTGATTTTTGTCTGGAAGAAGGTAATAAATGTAGATATAAGGAAAAATATTACAAATGTTTTCATTATTATTAGAAAACAATAACGAAAGGGAAAAGTTTAGATCATTTACATTTACTTGACTAACTAATAACAATCTGTGTGGGTGACACATATTTGTTTAACTTTCCGAAAAATAATTTATCTTTTCATAAAAAATCCGATTCGCTAATTTTATGTTTTCTCGACGTTTCAAGCCATTCTGAATCGAATGAGACCAAATTTGGAAAAAGTATGTGTGTGTGTGTATGTGTGTATGTGTATATGAACAGATTTTTTGCCGTAAATCGACGTTTTCTCAAAAACGGCTGGACCAATTTCAACAATTAAAATGCCATTCGATGTATCTCGATGAGGACTATTGTATGTCAGTTTTGTGCGACTTTATTTAAAAATCCATGGATAGATATCTTTGAAAATTTGACTATATAAAACGGCCAAAACTTTGTTTAAAAATCCATGGATAGATAACCAAACCATTTCTTTATAATTAGAAAAAATTTTCGTTCACTTTTTAGCTTTCAATTCCGAATCGATTTTAAAAAATCAAAAATTTTTGGAAAGATGTTGGGAATGATTTCGATTGGTTTTAGGTAAAAATCTACAGCCGTTTTCTTGAAATCAACTATTGAAAAAAAATTTTTTGCCGATTTGTATAAACCTTATTTTGGCCACAGATATATTGGTCTTATAGATCATACTAAAATGTTATCGCCCTACGACAAATAGTTTAATGTTAAAAATTTATCAAAGTTTGAGAAAATATTTTAGTCAAAATTTGTTTCAACTGTTGCTTTTGTGATGTGATGAGTCAAACATTATCAATTCATTAAAATTTTAATTAATAAGCTACAATTTTAGGGCATACAAGCAATTGTCTGTGCGGTTTAATTAATATAATAACAGATAATTTTAATGTGTTTTAGAAAATTCTATTAGAAATCTATTAAATTTGATGATAAATTTATTTTCGAAATCAACAGTTGAAAATTTTATCTAAGTATCTAAATCACAATTTCAGTTGATTAGGTTAATTACTACACATTTCGGTAAGTTCGTGCAACTTGCCTTAAGACTAAATGCCACTTTCAACTAGTTCAAAATGAATTGAAACGACAAGATATCATGAAATTAGCAAATAGAATTTTCTGTCGACAACTAAACTTCTCCTTCAGGAAGCTTAGAAATAAGTAACAACAATTGCTTATAGTCTAATTTACAACGTTGTGATAATTGACAAATCTTACCATATATGCTGGAACATTGTCCAAAAAAGCTTGCAACTCAGGTTGATCAGATTGCTTTCCAACTAGCCTATGTCCTTCTCCATTTAAAACAAGAGCTGCCATCCTTTCCATATCAGCTTCTTGGACCATCAACTCCACTTCGGTATCTTCTAATCCATCATTATTATTGTGGGAAAGATCTAGGGTATCGGCCTGTAAAATAAAAAAAATGTTTGAGATAAATTAATAATAGGAAACAATACTTATAACCATATTTAGAAAAAAATATATATTAAGGATAAAAATAAGTAATATTATCAATATTATTATAAAGATTAGAAGTTTTATCAAACAGTCCTACTCAACTCAATTCAGTTTGGGAAAAAAATGGATGTGTGTGTGTATGTTCGGATGCATTTTTTCTCCCACGATTTCCGGCGCACGAATCAACCGATTTGAATGATTCAAAAAACATTCGATTCCTATTGATAAGAAGATTGCTGTTTCGGTTTTGGTGAAGACCGGTGCAGCCGTTTCAAAGCTACAGGGCAAAAAGTGCCAAAAAGAGTAAAAATAGTAATTCAATTTTTGAGAGAACTCAATACCCGATTTGAATGATTCAAAAAACACATCACTTGTATTGATGAAATTTTTGGTAAGGCAGGTCTAGCGGTTTTGGAGATACAGAGAAAAAAGTAAAAAAAAATATATTTGGCAATCAAAAATGATCATTAGAAATATGCTCATCAAATTATCAGATATTTGATAACTTTTTTTAACAAATGAGTACTAATTTTGTTACAATTTTGTTGGGTTCCGTACCATGATTGTTAATTTTTAAAGTTTACTTATACGGATCAAGCAAATTTCATAATTTTCAGAAAAAAAATTTTTTCAAAATTTTCAAAAATATACGAAATTTTATACTTCAAATATGAATTTCAAATTTACAATACAGTTTGAAAACGTATATATTTCAAATGCGTTATTCTAATCGTAAAAAATATATTCTCAAATGAATTTATTAGGCACCTCTTGCTAATGTAAACTTTCTCAAGTGTATTGAGCGATTAGATCATCACTGTACATTTTATGAACGATAATTATTTATTTAAAAATGTTATCAATTGTTATTAATCAACGATCAATATTTATTGATTACTGATTGTTTCCCTCGAATATTTAATTCTAGTACGGGAAGTTACAGCAATTTGCCTTAAGGCATGATGCCATGCACCACTAGTTCTATTTTCGATTAAATATTATGCCAAGACAGTCTGGGAAGAAACGTGTTTAGAGATTGTATTACAAAAAAAAGATATATGATACATAATGCGTAATTTATAAATAATTTGCTAGAGAATATAATCAGCAACTTTTCAATAAAAGAGATAATGGGCAAGTCTTGAATTATTAGGAAGGTAAAGACAATATAAAGCAAGGCTACTATTACAATAAAACATGACTTCAAATGATGACTTCAAATAAAACAATATTCACAAAGCCTTTTGCATTAATACTTTTTACAAAAATTTGCTAATATTTACAAGTAAAATTTACTAGTCTGCACTAATTTGATAATTTAATAAATGAAAAGTTTAAATAGGTTAACCTGTTTTATATGCGTATCTACGAAAATTTTCAATAAGATTTCTTCATTTAATATGCAATATTCTTAGCTCTTAGATTGTGTTTTAAATAACTGTTTTTTATGTTAAATTTAAAATAAATTTGTCAATTTTTTTTTTACATTATTGTATTAGGCATCATAGAGCTTTAGAGCGTAAATTTATTTGAGAGAAGAAACATTTAGTAACACTTGAGTTTATATGCACAACACAAATTATACAAATGGCCAATACACAACACAGACAAATAAAAAGTACCTAATATATCTAGTAACGCATAAATGCTAATATATCAGTTTTGTCCAAATGCTACCATGCTATTAAAATAATTCACATGCACATAAAATTTACTAATATTTCCATAAAAATATTTCAGAAACTTTTCATGCAACTACTAGAAAACTAACATTCCTAAAAGAATATGAGATAAGAACAAGAATTTTTAGTAATAAATTCTTTAAATTTCAATGACTTACCATAGCTGCCACTTTTTCTAAAATTTCAAAAAATATTCATTATATTTACAAAAATCTATTGCCAATGAAAGTTTTGCATTACCAAAAATTTATACAACATATAAATGAATAATATTTTTTTCCTGATAAATTTTGAATATCAATGGTTAAACAGAAAAGAAATTAATTTGATATTTAAAAACTAATGACCAAAATATTTGCTTAAACTATATACATATTTACAAAATAAAATTAACATTGTATATGTTATGTAAAAAAAATCAAGCAATATACCAAGTTTTCTGAATTATGAATAAAAATTACAAAAAAAAATTGAGTAGTTCAAAAGTTGTGTAAAATATATGTACCCACAATGTTTTAAATAAAATTAAAATAAATAAATTACTTGCAACGTATGAATCTAACATTTATCATTATTTGTGTTAACAATATGCTTGATCAAAATTTGACCAGTATTAGTAAATATTGTCAAATGTACAATTTCACGTTTCAACTATAATTGTACAAAAGTGCTTTAAACATCAAGCACAATTCTATAACGACATGTTCACTATAATAAAAATATTGAAGTAAAAATCAATAAATAATAGTCAGACATAGGTTTGACTGAGACATTGAGAAAAAAACGACATATTTTAGTAACAAGAACAAATCTGCCCGCACAATTGCACAAAAACACAAAAAGCTAGAATAAATCAAAGTGCCACCAATCTTACCGGATCATCAGTGACTTCTTCATCATCATCATCATCGTCAACTCTACGATCAACAATAGCAGATTGCAATCTTCCTTCATCTGGACTACCATGTACCATGCCAGTTATAACCGCAGATTCACTTATTTGTTTGGTTTGAGAATCATCAGACGCCAAAACTTCTTGTTCTTTGTCTTCAATTTTAGCCACTTCATCTCCTAAATTTTCATCCAACGCATTGTCGACTTCAGATGCAGTTTTGGCTGAAATTTGACGTGATACTTCATCTCCAAGATTATCGGGTAAGTTTGTTTCATCATCCTCCGTGGTGCTGGTACCTAAAGCTACCAATTCATCTTCAGTTTGGTCTACAAATTCATCAGTAGATGATAAAGGAAATTCTTCTATTTGATCCATAGGGTTTGGAGGTACGTCTGACCCTTCTTCGTTGTCTGAGGATACTTGGTAATTGGGATCGTTTATTACAGTAGTTGCATCTGAAAATGGAGTTTTGGGAGTTGACGTTTCTATCTCGTTGAGTTCTGATTGTTCTTCATCTGGTTGTGCTGCAGTTTGTTCATCTGGTTCTGAAGTTTGCTTCTGCTCAACAACTTCTTTGTCGTTAGATTCTTCGTTATTGTTTTCTTCCACTTTTGTTTGTACATCATCAGCATTTGCTTCGCCTCCTGTTTTTTGTTCATCTACATTCTCTTCGAAATCATCTTCATATTTATTTTCCTGATTGCCACCATCCCCATCTTCATTACTTTCAGCTGGATTCTGATCATCTTCACCATTTACCACCTGTTCAGTTTTAGCTTCTCCTTCTACTGCCTTTTGTTCTTCAGAAGGTTGATCAACAGCTTCTTCCTTTTCTTCAGTTTCAGAAGGTTGATTTCCATCAGTATTTTGTTCTTCCTCATTCTGATCTGCTATAACGTTTTCTATTTCAGAAGGTTGATCTCCATCTCCAGTATTTTGTTCTTCCTCATCTGCTATAACTTGTGGTTCATTTTCTGGATCTTCCTCGGTTGGTTCTTCTTCTACTGCCTTGGTTTCAATGACCTGTTCTGCGTCTGTTGGTTCGATTGGGTTCTATATTTGGGTGGAGAAACAAATAAATAACAATACATTCCTAATGCGTGCGTCAAGTCTCATCATAAAGTGTGACAGACAGAAAAATGCACATAATGGAACTTCAATTTAATTCAACTTTTTTTTTGTAAATCGTTACATATTTTATTCCAATTACTTGTGTATTAGTCAATGGAGTTTCATTATGTATAATTTATAAAAATAATGTTAATTAAGATATTCTAAGAGTTAATAACACTGAATACCACACAACTCAACCACAACAGAAAACTGAAAACAAACTATGGACTATTGTAAAATTCAAAGAAATTATCTAAGACAACTGAGCACACGTGAGTGTAGTTTAGTTGAATAATTTATTAACTTTCCGTAGAGTGAGTTATAGTAATCGAAAAAAAGGACAATAAAAATGCTTGCAAATCTTTACGTTTCAAAGGTTTCTGGATATTTTCTCGACGTCCTCGACATTCTCGACAGTATGAAATAACTGAATTGTATGATTCAAAAATCATTCGGTTCGTACTCGATCGCGAGGCGTTTTTGCAAAAGGCAATTTTGCCGTTTTGAAGGTATGGAGTGCAAAGGGTGCAAAAACGGTTATGCAGTTTTTGAGAGACCAGATCATCCAATTAAATTAATTAAAAAACCATTTTGCTTGAGTAGACGGTGTGCAAATGCTTTTACCGAAAATTTCGTAATGTTGAAAATTTACAAAGAAAAAATTCAAAATTTTTAAAAAAAATCAAAGTTTCAAAAATTCAAATTTTTGTAACTATTCATCATTTTCAAAAAAAAACTAAATTTTGAAAAATTTCAAAAAACATTAAAATTTTGGAAAACGATTTTTTACAAAAATTTGAGAATATGTTGAAATTTTCAAAAAAATAAAAAAAAAATTATTCTAAATTTAAGAAATGAATTTCTTCTGATTGCTTTATTAAAATAGATGTTTGCAAATATTATCTTTACAGCTTTCGGTCAGAAAACACAAAAAAGCAACACATAAAAATGCTAAAACGATTCAAAGTCAAGAAAAAAAAACAGACTGAAAAAGACAATTATTTCTACTGTAATATCTACGTGAAAATTTGATTATTTGCACAGCCGAAATATTTGGGATTGTGCTCTTAAAAACACACTATGTATAAAATGCAATAACTATCTCTAAAGATGAAAATATTCGTCACTAACATAATAAATTACATAAATCTCAACAAATTTTAACTTTTTCGTATATAACAACAAACTTGTTTTAATAGAAGATTGAAATTAGAAATAGCAACAATGTAAATTGTAAAGTAATATAAATTATTATAAGAAATAGTCAAACCGTCATTTTCAAGAATTCGCTCCATTTTATATTATTAATCATTACTCGGTATAACATTTTTGCAACAATTATCATCAAACAGAATTTTTATAATCAGTATCAGTATTTTTATAAGTAAAACTTTATTTTTTTATTTATGAGCCTTTTCGACTTTTAAATGAAAGCCCAATATTTTTAGTTGACATGTCTAATTTACTAACTAGAAGCTTTAAATCGCAATAGTTTTAAAAATTCTAATAAGTCTCCATTATTAATCAGCAAAGTAATTTTCAGTTTTCTATGTGTCAAAAATAAAATACATTAATTTCGATTGTAAAAGTCCATTCTCAGCATACTAAATATTTTCATGCCACACATATAAATTTATAACCACATAGTACCAGGAATTAGCAAAAATGGCAATTTTATGGTGCATCCTAACATTTCTCAAAATATCTTTAAAAAAAACTATAAAACATTAGCAAAAATTTTCGAATCTAAAATTAAATTGACAAAATACACTTTGATAAAGGATCTTCATGCCTTTTTATAGAGATATGGGGTAAAAAGGACTTCTTTGAAACAAATTGAACTATGTGAATAATATTTAATTTTTTTATAAATATACCAATAACTGAAGACAAAAGTGAGTATTGATAGTGCAAAAAATTATGATAGAATCAATTGGATAACAAAATATTACTTATTGTTAGTTTCTCATAGAACTCACAAGAAAATTAATTATATAGAGAAAATATGGATATGTTTTGAGTTCTGATATCAAAATGTTTATGACATTATCATTTTGATGCAAATTCTCAAAAAACCCAACTCAAATAAGTCTGAATTATAAAAATTATTAAAAATTGGAAATCTGTAAACTCTTTAAATCGGGACTGTAGACGGCAATCTGTGTGATTATTCAATTGTTGAAATGCAAAGTGCGGTTAGGTTAGAGCAACACTCCTCACGATTCGATATTTCTCTAAAAAAACATAGAGTATTATACATCGTTACAAAGGTTTCAAAATTTTTAGTTTTTCTCCCATATATCGCAACATCGAATTCCGCCCGGTGTGGCCTACAGGTAAGTTGCAGTTGAAAAATTCAAGGAAAACTGAAAAAACTCGAGAAAATTATATGAATATACTTAACGATTTATGCATCATTTTATTCGAAATTTTATTCTGCATTTTTCATCAGAACAATGTTTTTTGTATCTTTTACGGTTTGTCTTGTAGAGGGCAATCTGTGTGATTATTCAATTGTTAATATGCAAAGTTAATAACCTGCTCTATTTAACTATATAAATTAAAAGACATTGCAAACAAGAAACAAAAATTTTACTAGGTGCAATTCTTAGCCATGAAAAATGGATCTTGAATTAACCATAATTGAAAAATTGAAATAGATGAACTGACAGAGAAGATAAAAAATCGTTACCATTGATCACTTGTACAAGAAGAACGTATACAAAAGGCTTCAGATACAAAAGAATAAAAAAACAGAAACAAGTTCTTCCACACAACAGTCTACTGAAGTGCAAACTCAAGAGACCAACAATAATAATTATGAACAGTGGTTCCAGAAACCACTCAATTTCTACAAATACTATGAAAATAATTCCCGGACAACTTTTTTTAAAATTTGTTAAGTTCTCACCAAATTATTTTAACCATCTACCATGTACTGGTCAATAATACATGTATTTTTGAGAAACGTTAGTAAGCACCTTACTGAAGCCTATCAACCCACCTCTGCATTTTCCTCCTGATCCAAAGATTCATCAGTCTGCTCCTTTTCCCGTTCTTTTTCCACGTCCAAAATTTCTGCAGTATCACTAACTACAACATCGTCTTCATCCTTATCCACTGTACTCCTGCCTTCTGAATCTTGGTTTGCAATTTTAGGAGATTCTCTAACAATTCTATCGCTATATAGACTTTCTGATTGCAAAGCTTTGATTTCTTCTTCGTCGATTTGTTCTTCCTGAGGAGCTGTTTTGGGTTCTGCTTCTGGTGCTGGTTCTGCTTCTGGTGCTGGTTCTGCTTCAGGTGCAGGTTCATTATTTGCTTCTTCAGGGTTCTCAGCTTCAGTGGCTTCTTCTTCATTTTTCGTTTCTTCAGTTGCTTCGGTGGAAGGTTGTTCCTCATTTGCTGCTTCATCTTTGGTATTGGCACTTTCCTCTAAAGCTTTTGCTGCATTTTTCGATATTTCACATGCAAGTGACGACGGTGCATCTGCACCTGGTTTCTCATCATTTGCACTTTCTTCTTTTGGTGGTTCTTTCACTTCAGCAGCTAATTCTGGCTGCTCTTCCTAAAATTCGCTTTAACGCTTTAGCACTTATACAAATAAGGATATAAATTTTATAATATTAAGATTATTATATCTATATGCATTCTGCTATACATTCAATCTAATTTTGGACATTCCAAATACTACTGGAGTTACTGATTCAGCAGTTATAATACATGCTTTATATTAGACATTACATTTTGTAAATATAATACATAATTCCATTATTCACTGTTCAAAATAAAAACTTATTGTTTAAACCTGTTTTTTTGAACATTCTTAATTTATTAGGGTGCAGTGACTAGGGCGGATGATAAGCACGCCGTTATGGAGAACAAAAAATAGGAAAAGAGTAGACAAGAACTACAGAGGTTTAAAATTTGAGTTAGAATTTGAGATGTCGAGTTAAAATTAATTATAATTAGAAGTAAGAAATAGAATTAAAAAATAATGTTGAATAAATAAAGAAATGTTGTAGATGGCTAAAAATGCTCCATGTGAGCAAGGCAAATAAAAAAGTTATATAATTATCTACGATAAAATAAAATAAAAGTGTAAAGATAACTTATAAAATGTATATGACTAATGTACGTGTATGCAAAGTCAACAAATAAACCATAAAAAAACTTATTGGGGTTATAAAAATTGTATAACATATCATCAATAAGCTTTTTAGTTTTAAATATACTAGTTTATGTACGAAAAGTTTAAACAATACACTTTTGATATCCTTATATCTCTAGTTTTTCTGATTATTTTTTAATATATTCACCAAAAACTAATGTAAGTTTTTATGATATCCCTGTACGTCAACTATTTGAAATTATTTTTGAACACACTAATTAAATAATGTGAACCATAAAAAATGTTCGAAAATCTTTTGATATTTATACTTGTAAAGTCTTTCCGATTATTTCTGAATATATTATTAACTTCCCGTAGGGTAAGTTATTGTAATGGGCCGAAAATCGGAATTGAAAATTTTTACATTTCTCGACGTTTTGAAGGTTTCTGAACGTTTTGGCATACCTCAGAAAAAATGGATGTGTGTGTGTGTGTGTGTGTGTATGTGTGTGTGTGTGTATGTATGTGTGGATACAAATTTCCAGTCACGTTTTAGGGCGCACGGATCAACCGATTTGAATGGTTCAAAAAACATTCGATTCCTATTGATGGGGAAAAGAGCTGATTAGTTTTTGGCAAGGGCAGGTCCAGCCGTTTCGGAGATACGGAGCAAAGAGTGCGGAAAATAGAAATCGAATTTTTGAGAGAACGGAGTATCCGATTTGAATGATCTATAAAACATTCAATTAGTAATGATTGGGAGAAGTGTTTATTTGTTTTTGGCAAAGGCAGGCCCAGCCATTTCGAAGATACGGAGCTAAATATGTAAAAAATGGCAGTTTTTGAGAGAATTAAGCGTCCGATTTGAATGATTCAAAAAACTTTCTGCTTGTCTTAACAAAATAATTGATTTTGGAAAAAAAAATTTTTGCTCCATTTTTTTTTTTTTTTTTTTTTTTTAGGTTTTTGTTGAAACAAATAATTTCAACTTTGCAATTCAGTTTATATAATTCTTATAAATATTAGACAATGTTATAATATTTATAATAATCTATTTGAAAACATTCAGTATTCCTCGAACATTTCGTTACGATACGGGAAGTTCCAGCAATTTGCCTTAAGGCACGATGCCACCCACCCCACTAGTTTAATGTACCAAAAACACAAAATTGAGTACTTTTGATGTCGTTACGTCTTTTTGATTATTTTTAAATGTACTATTTGATGTACCAAAAACTTTTGATACAATTTTGAAATTTTGATGCAATTTTGAAAAACTTTAGATGAACATTTTGATTTTTTTGTGTCGAGTCTTAAACTCAAAATATAATAAGAAGTATTACTGATTATTTTTTAATTTGTTATAACAATGTATTAGGTGTTTAGTATTGTAACATATAAGTATATTGAAATTGAAATTTGATGTCCAGATATATGAAATGAACTGAATTTAATGAACTGAAGAGACCAATTTGTACTGAAACCATAATCAATTCGTTTTTAGAAATGATGTCCAAAAAAGAAGATGATCAAAAGTGATTAGTTGACATATTTCCATGAAAGCTATCTATTTCTATTAATAATTTCTTATACCAGTAGCTAACTTGCCATAGGGTAAGTTATAGTAGTCGCATTTTTTGCGTGTCTTTACGTTTCAACGGTTCCTGAATATTTTGGCATACTTCAGAAAAAAATTATGTATGTGTGTGTGTGCGGATACAAATTTTCGTCGACGATTTCGGGAACACCGATGAACCGCTTTGAATAATACAAAAAAACATTGGATTCGAAGGCGAAGGCAGGATCAGCTCGAAGATACGGAGCAAACAGTGCAAAAAATGGCAGGTTTTGAGAGAACAAATCGGCCGATTTGAATGATTCAAAAAACATTGGATTCATATTAATGTGGAGACGTAATAATTAGTTTTTGGTATAGGGAGGCCCAGCCGTTTCGAAGATACAAAGCAAAAAGTGCAGAAATTCCGATTAGATCCTAGACATCCTAATACTTTTTATGTTTGTATAGTTGATTGGACTATTTAAAATTGTTAGCTCAGTGCATATATTTCGCGAACAAAAAATTGATGCATTTGAAATAAAATATGTTCATTCTAACAATAAGTCCGCTTAATTAGATTTTGTTTATATATATTCAATTCAAACATATATAAACAATGTAGTCTAATCTAATAAGTTCTCACATTTTGTCTACAAGAAACAAATAATGAAAGATCTTGTTTTTATAATATTTATTCATAGACACTTTTGTTGACTGATTATTTTTATTTTTCGAATGTTTAATTACACTACGGGAAGTTCCAGCAATTTGAGGCACGATGCCATAGTTTTCTTTTATATTGAACAGTAGACATGGAATATATCACATTGGTACTCATACAATCTAAAATATTCATTTACTTTGGATCTTATAACATGCCTGATTGATACAAATACTTTAAATATTTTTGAATCTACTAACGATAACATAGTTAAATACCATGATGTGTATGTTCATATTTACAAATGCAATTACTTGAAATGCAAATACTTGAAGTATCTGTAAAAATTGATTTTGGAATATGAATATTTTTAATTTTTAATTACCTTCATTCATAATTAAATTTTGAAGCAATAGATGAATTGGATAATTTTGTAATAAAGTTATTAGTAACTTAATTGAAAATAAATTTGTATGCCGGAATAAAAACTTTTTTTTTACAAAATTTGAGTTTCGGTAAGAAAAATATATTGCTTTACCAAAAGTGATTGTATATTATACCTTAGCGTTGTTTTTCTCAGTGGTGGGTCCAAATATTTGTGATCCCCGTTTGGAGCTAAGACCTTGAAGTGATGAGGCTCCTGATAAAATACCCCAATCCCATCCTGATGGAAAATTCTTACTGGCTACTCTTGGAGCTTCTGGAATCACTGTTAAAAGGGCTCGTTCCAATTCAGCTGGTTTTGCCTTGTAGTAGCCTGGTGCTTTTTGTTTCTAAATCGTAATTGATATATAAATAACACTATTCCACAAAATGAAAAAAAATGTCTGTATTGGGGGTGCGGCAAATAAATTTGAAGTCGAAATTGGGGCTCAAATGGCAAAAAATTATTTAGTTTTTAATTAAATGACAAAATGTCCGATCTAGTAATTCATATGCCGCATACCCAAAACAGACAACAATTTTTTGTGGACTTATTTAATTAATAAAGTTATGATGATTAATCACAGAGTAGTGCTGATGATCAACAGTAGTGTACGTTGCACTGTGGCTATTGAGTAATAAAAACATACAAACTACTGTAAAAATTAAACAACTAATAAAAATCTTTTTATCCATGTATATAAAACTTTGTGTTTTAAATATTTTTCTGTTAATAGCAAATTGCTCAAATTATAATACATTCATAATAAATATAATTCACAACAATAGTCTAAAATTGATTCAATTCATTATCTAATTTTACCCAATAAACCCCAAACGGCGGTAGAAACCTGTAATCCCCATGCGTTCCACAAAGGGTTCAGAAAACCGGTTTTCAAATTGTGAATTTCCCAGGGAACCGAATTTAGCTGGTTTTTGAACTTTATATAAAAATTATATAAATGTTGATCTAAATTAAATAACTTTGAAAATGATTATTCGTTATTCATGCATCATTTTCACAAATGAGAATATAAATATTTTTATGATAGTGAAAGTAAAGAGTTCGAATAAATAAAAATGATACATTTCTAACTAAATAACTTTTGACTTTTAATTAAATAGAAAAATATTAGACACATATTAATACATACTTGTTAAAGTCAATTTTAGTTCTCAAAACAATAACACAAATCCTCGATTTTATTGTATTCCGAACAATTTCAAATATTTTATTATTTTTTGGTTTAATGAAATATGATTGTTAAAAGCTGAGGACGTCTTTCTATTTGTTATTTAGGAGTGTCTTTTGTTCACTCACAAAAATTTTCGAAATAGAAAATACTTCTCACTAGCAAACAAACTAGGCTTAATCGTTTTCAAAGCGTGATTAAATTCTGAAAATTTTGTTATTTCATTTGTGGCTTCCAAGGCTACAAACTATTTTTAAAGTTTGAGTAGAGCAATTCCTGACTCCCTCAACAAGAAGACGCATTGATCTAAATTAATATAACAGTATAAACCGATTTTTTCCGCTAAAAACCGGTTTTCGAATTACACAATTTTCATAAAAAAGCCGGTTTTCAAAAATCGGTTTTGACAAATCCACATGGATCACAGCGCTGAGAGCACGCTTGTGGATATCAGATTGCAACCGCCGTTCAAGGTCTCATAGTGTTAACTAAATGCAAAATACTAAATTATCAAACCGAATCCAATCTGGCCGGATCAGCTCCTGCTTGTATCAGCATATCGAAGCATTTGTCCCCATCTCGAGCTGCAGCAGCATAATGTGCTGCCGTTCTTCCTTCTTTATCAGCCAGATCTACTGAATTTGGCCATCTGCGCAATATGTAAGCCACCAGCTCGGAGTGTCCAAGACCTGCAGCCTGGATATGAAATGATTGTATAAAATACAATAACTGAAGAAGTATATGACTTTGAGAATATTATCAACACAGACATTTTTACCACTTTGGGAGGTGTATTCAAAAAACCATCAATTTAAGTTCTGCAGAGAAGGATAGTTTTTGTTTAATGTTTTTTTGATATACCCGTTCAGATCAAATATTTTGCTGCATTGATAGATCATAGACTGAGCAATGATTTATAATTTTGAAAAGTAGGACAAAGATTTGACGATTGAGCCTCGGTCATAACCATATTTTTTCATAGTCTGTTTTAAAAATGCAAAATACTCTGACAAAAGTTAGTAACCGATTCTGCCGCATAACAGAAAGATGTTATGGCAAGGCCATGATACGCTTCAACTTCTATACATTATTCTGTTGAATCATACTGAATATTGTCAAAATGTCGTGTATTTGCTGTGCATTCAGGCGTTTTACACATAAACTGCAACGTCACTCGCATGTTATGAACCCGGATCAGCAAGAATCTGTTATCTAAGATCGTTTTTTTTTGACATTTGTGCAGTTTCTAGATTAGGTTTTCTATATGTCAACCTGAGAAATGCGCCTGACTGCAAAGCAATTACATAGCTTTTGTCAATATTTATTATGAAAAGTACTTCGTAACATAGCCTTGCCATAACATTGGTCTGTTATACGTCAGGTCTATGAGTTTTTTATTTCATTTCATATATACTACTTTGTCCAAAAAACCCTTATTCGTTAACAATGAGAGCAATATATTTATTTCAAAATGTGCCTTACTTTGTGCAAAGGTGTGAGACCATTAGCATCCTTGCTAGAAAGTATTGCAGGAACCACTGGATCTTCTGTCGTTTGAATTAGTTGTTCTAATTTATTCTCGACAGTTGCCTCATGGACGTCTTTAATGTTATTCTAAAAAAATAAAAAATATGAAAATATTAGTAACTGCCCAACCTGTTTAAAATTCTTAATTGAACATGTAACAAAATCAAACCCATAGCATTTTTATCTTATTATAAAAAAACATGAGTAGATACAATTTTCATAAATGGACTAAGATATATATCTTATATATAAAATTCTTCTGTAATAATGTATGTGAGTATACTCCTCTTGAACGATTTTTCAGATTTTGATAAATCTTTCTGAAGTTTGTTAAGGATTTTTTTAGGAAGTATGTGATTTAAAAAATATAGTAATATTGCAGAAATAAATGGAAAAATTTGCAGAAACGACATGTCTTTGTTTGACATTGAAAACAAATAAAAACTGTAATCTGCCAAAAATTTCAATTTACTTATGCGCCTAGACAATTTTAGAATATGTATAATAAATTCATTATTATGAATAAAAAAAATCAAATGTCTACATTATTACAGCCAAAAAGCAGCGGAGAGGTGTCAGAAATTAAAATTATATAAGATACAGTATATGTATGGCAGATGGAGTGATACACATATGAGCAGGATTTGACAAATTAATTCACTTAAAATATGAAATTAAGCAATAATCAGGGCCGGTCCTACCTTCAATGCGACGAGCGCACGCATTAGGGGGCGCCAACCCAAGATTCAGATATGAAATTTTCAATATAGTGTTTTTTTTTTCAATATAATTCAAGAAATATATAATTTATCTCTACCTTTTACTAATCTTTACACAATATTTTTAAAATACGTTAAAAATTTCACATTAAAACAAGAAATGAGAAAGTAAAATTGAATACATACAATTCGGCCCTTAAGATATCAATAAGGATAAGGTTAAGATGCAATTTTGAATATCTTAAATAATAAAAAAAAAAGATTATAATAATCCAACATGAAGTACCAGTGTTATGATATGATTATGTTTAATAATGAAAGGCTAGAATTTCTTTGCTTTCTATGATTTGCTCAATAGAATAAATTGCATAAAATACCCAAAATAAATAAGTAAAATGTTTCAAAAGCCAAATAGTAATTAATGATAATTTTAATAATAAAACGTTAAAACAGGTAAAATATTTGGAGAGGGGGGGTGCGCTAGAAAAAAATGGCATGCTGGCGCCGAGGACCCCAGGAGCGTCCCTGGTAATAATGTGTATTAAATTATTACTAATTATAAGAAAAATGTAATTTAGATATTATTACAAAAACCAGTTAAAATATGGTACAAGATTATAAAAATTATAGGCAACATTATTGGAGTAATTATTTTCGGTGGAAAAATCCAAGGTAACATTGTACTTTTATACTATGTATTAATTAATCTGAATTTGTTATACCGTTTAAAAGACTTCAATTTTCAATATAGTATAGGAATTGAGACTCATCTTTTTATTTAAAGTAGTTTGCTACATTTTACATCGCTCATATTGATGTATATGCATTTTGGTCTGAAGAGTATTTTAAAAAACAATAATTATTATTTTTAGGTAAACGGTAAATATTAGTGTGGGATATTAAAATATTGTAAGCATGGTTACAGGACAACGTTTGTCGGGTCAACTAGTACATATATAAATATAATTTAAAAAATCGAACCATTAAATGTGGCACTGCTTCCAAGAACTTCCTCACACGTGGATTTTTTGAAGTCTCTGCTCGCAATTTATCACCATGTCCTTGCCAAAGTACTTGCTGTAATTTTCCAATATCTTTGTCATGAATCCAAATCCTGATGTTGGATCTTTTGATATTTAATCCTGAAAAAAAACTTTAGATTACTACATGTTGCGCTAAATTACACAAAACAATTCACAAATAAAATTTATTCTGACTAGTTTAGGAAATGATTCCAACTATCATCAAAATCTTTATAGGTTTGTTAGAGTTCAAGAGAAACAATATCTTGGATCATACCAATATTTTAAAAATAATAGATTAAATTATTAAATGCGAAAATAATACTGATGTTTACCGTAACATAAAAATAATTTATTGCTTTACAAATATTAATAAATTGCCTGGTTCTAACTGTGATTAGTTTTGGATTATATAAATAGGGTTAATAATTGCATTATTAACATGAATATTTATTAATATTTTATGAATTTAAGTTGCCTATGAAATCTTGTCCTAAAGAAATAAGTAATTTATTAGGTTATTTTTAATTAGACTTAAGATATAAACATTATAATATTCAAAGTTTCCTTAGTCTAATAATTAGTTCAGAAAATCAATTAATTAGTTGATACCAATAACAAACGAATTGAAGAAGATGAGATCAGAAAAAAGCAGTTGTAGTTTCTAGGTCATATATCCAATATATTGTTCTTTAAAGAGGCCAATTAAAAACTCCATCTACAAAAGACAGGCGATCTATTATTTAAGTATTACCATGAAGTTGACCTAGTTTAATAATTTGGATAAAAATAACAGATGGATATTCAAACAATTTTCATTAGGCTTCGCAACAATAACCTCTTAACACCAATAGAAGGACTCTCAAATAGACTTCGCTTTTACTTAAAAATAAAACTACGTCTCATCATGACACCATTTTGTCCTACATACGCACTGGTTGTCCTACATTCAACCCCCAATTGTACAATAGTTGTCTATTCTTCTCCAATCAACCTTTACGTTGCAAGACATTTTCTGTAAAATCAATCCAGAGGTGTACTGTTATTATTTAGCATAGAAAAATTCTAGATTCTTATATAAATCTGTTGGTCTTGAAAATAGTTTATAATAAATACCTTAGAAATATAATGCCTGGATTGCATCTTTTATGTGAAATTTCAAAAAATCTTTGTACTGACCAAAATTTGGTCAGTCTTCTTTGAAATCATAACCTACAGATGTCATGGAATTGTACCGCTAGAATTATGTCCTGAAATGTTTAAATGTTTAAACAGTCCTAAACCTGATCATATACTTAAGAAACGCCAGCAGCTCAAATTGACACGTAGGTAGTTTAATTGGTTAATGGGTTGGAAATCACAAATTTCATAGAAAATAAACTCCTAATATACAAGACAATTAATAAACCAATATGGTCCTACGGTCAACAACTATGGGGTGCGGCTAGTAAATTAAACATAGCAATTCTACACGAATAAAATTTTGACACTGGCCAATACATCGAGACCTTAGAATTTTACTGTTAAATTAATTAACAACTCCTGCTCCAGATATAAGACTCGGCTAAGTCAACATCCAAATCAACTGGCGTGTAACCTCCTCCAGCTATTTAAGCTGTAATGAACTATTACGCCAAATTACATAATGCTATAATTGCAGAAGGTTCTATCACAGGATACCTATCCTTAACACTCCGTCTATTAAATTGTCTATAATAGTAGCTGAATGTACTTATTGTATAGTTTGCTATAAAAAATCTAGCATAATCATGATAATCTTTGTACTAACTAACTGATAAACCAAAATTTCAGAAAGGATGTTTCATCATAGTCATAGCAATCTCGGTACTAAATAACTAATCAACCAAAATTTTATCCAGACTGAAAAGTGCGGTAAAAAGTTTGTGAATGACATTGTCAATTATAATTGACAATGTTAAAACCACTTCCACAAGGTCTTTTGGCTTGGCTAGTTTGGCTTTGTTTAACATATTTTTAAATTAATGTACAGTTTTCCAGGTTAAATAAGCACTATGAATAAAATTCATATAGACTTTTGACTTGTGGAAGTAATTATTAAGTTGACAATATGCAACAAATCCACTTAAGTCTTGAAATATCAAATTGGATCGAATAATGATTTTTTTAAAAACAAGATTAATAATATTTGATAAGATCTTAGTCAGTAAAATATTTACGTATTAAAAAATATAAATGTATTAGGCCAAGACTTCTTAAATTATATGTCGCGACTCCAAATGAGATCGCGCAGGAAAATTCTTTCGAGAGTTTTTAATGCCAAATATTTGTATCATTTTATAACATCACGTCTAGGTTTCTGTACGTTTTACAACAAATTCTAAAACTTTATATTTTTGTATGTATTTATATATGTATATTGTTACCAAATAAATAAATCATCTAAAATATTTTTTTGTGTGAGGTTGTCAAGAAAATCGCAATCATAAACGGGGTCGCGAAGGACAAAAGTTTAAGAAGCCCTGTATTACACTATCAATAATTAGTATAAAATTACATATTATTGTTTCTGCCGGCACTTTTCTGATAAAGAGATGAATAGATGAAAAATTTCAAAACAATTTTATATTTCAACTAATATTATAAAATAATACGGCCCTATGCTACCCATCAGCTGGTTGTTTTCACTCAACTCAAAATCGATAAACATGATAACTAATTCATATTCCTCCAAGCTTCCTATTTTATGGATTATTGCCATGGAGGAACATATGAACTTTTAATTTCTGAACTAGTTAACGTGTGCAATATGCATATGGCAATTGTTAGACACATAAAAGTGAAATTGAAAGTTTGCATTTTTCCCTCCTTCATGGTACTTTGAATATTTAGATTACTTTAACACCAAGAAAAACCACCACCTCAACATTAATAATTGAAAATTAGCAAAAAAATGAATTGAATAATTTATTAGAAACAAAAATGTGATCTTTCAAATAACATATGTTAATCATTATATCAAGAATTGCCTTTATACCTCATGAAAGCATAATCAATATCGCAACAAATCTGAGGAATAGTTTCAAACTTTCAGGATTTTGTTTTTTTTAAGAGAAAAAACTGAACAGAATGGTGAAGAAACTCAGATTATCTATACTTGAATAAGCATGCTGATTATATGCAATGAATATTTTTTTAGATGATTTTCTTCAAATGCAAATTAAATCTGTTCGTCCTTAAAAGTTCAGTTGGTTTATCGAAGAAAATAATCTAAATAATATTTATTGTATATAATCAGCATACTCATTCATATATAGATAGTTTGAATTTCTATACAATTCAGTTGATTTTTTTTCTTAAAAAAATTATGATCTTGAAATTTTCAAACTATCTCACAGATTAGTTGCAATAATAATGATGCTTTTATGAGTTTTGAAGACAATTCTTGATATATTGGTGATTAATAAGTTATTTGGAAAGTCACATTTGCGTCTCTGATAAATTATTTAATTCAATTTTTCATACTAAACTTTGCAATAATTATAACAACTTTTAAAATATAATAAAATTAGTAATTAATGCCGCACTGTCTTATTTAGTCGATGTCTTTTACAATATAAAAACAGTTTTTGATACTTTTATTAGAAAAAGTAAAAATAAAGTTATGATATATTTTTAAGTAAAAACCGGGACAGCAATTTCTTTGCAATGTGAAAAAAAGTGTTCAACTTTTCGTCCACATTTAAGCTCATCCTACCGAACCGATTTTAAAAAAACAAAAACTGTTCGAAAGATATTAGTTGGGAATGGTACTGATTAATTTTAGGTGAAAATCTACCAAGCCGTTTTCTTGTAATGAACTGTTGAAAAAAAAAATTAAGCCAATTTTCATGGAACTTTTTTTGGCGATATACATCATGGTCTTATAGAACTTACTGTAATATTACGCCCTTACGACAAGTAGTTTAATTTAAAAAATTCGTCAAACTTTGCTAAAATTTATATCGTTTTTTTAAAGTAGGATTGATGAAGTATATTAATCACACATTTTTTTGGATTAAGTCGATTATTTACACATATCGGAAAGTTCATGTAACTTGCCTCAAGGCTAAATACCAAACCAACTAGTTAGATATGTTAATTTGGGGGTGGAGGGCTTAAAATAACAAATTCTATTTAAGAATATAATAAACTCTTCTTTAGTGGAAACAAAACTACAAAAAGAAAGTCCGTATCTTTATGTTGGTTCGGATAGGTCTCATGAACTACTGAACCGATTTTAAATTAGATTGGCTCAACGTGTGCATTTATATCCAACTTAAGTTACTGGCAATATTAAAAATTTCATTTCATGTTCTAACTATTAAAATATTATAAATTTCAATGACATGGCAGTTCACAATCTTTCTGGAAACTTGGAGATAAATTGATTTATGATTTACATTCGATTTGCTTACCGTGATAATTCAGCTACAACAATGCTCCAAAAATATTATAAATCACGATTTATATGCGAAATATTACAATTCTTATACATCATAAAAAGGACCATTTAAAATTAAATGTTTTGTTTATAAGAACGTTTAAAAGTTTGTTATTATAAGAACTTTAATTATTCAATTATATGTAATACTTTTTCATCTACGATATTATATTATATCTTATATTTTTCGCTCTATAGGTTTTTTTCGCTTTTGAGCCTTGTATAAAATAATATTCAATTTTCTTCATAATGAATTTAAAAAAAAAATAGCACTTGTTTGTTTGATTTCATATTTTTTTGTTAATTTACTTAATAATTGTTAAAAAACCGGGACAATCCGGAAAAAATATATTTTCTAGAATAACCTGGGACACAAGATGGAAATCCGGAAGGTATGTTCACTTTAGCAAAAATCTATTCAAGACAAAAAAATTAACGATATGCATTGAAAATTATATTGTATGATAAAAGTTATTGCAAAAATGATGATGTAGAAGGCCATGTTCCAAAAAACTCTATGATGCTGATAAAAAAGCATCCAGTAATTAATAACGTCAATAACATGTTAAATTTATGAAAATCAATTATTGATTGCAACAAGAACCTTATTTTGATAAAGACATTTCAGACCATCCAGTACCATAAATCATTTCAACAT